CAGGCTGATCAGCGTGCTTTCGCTAGCGGTCGTCTATAGGCCATTATATTTGCATTGAAATTGGGCATAAATGTGCTAGTGGGGTCGGGACATTGTGTAAATCACGGTCTTATATTTCTAAGGTCTGGAATCTTCCTAAAACGGCCGCTAGGAGGCAATGTTGTAAAGGACCACGGTTTTTGCGTACGAATTACATAGAATTAGCATTAAGAAAGGTTATATTCAAACTAAATATAAAAATGTACTTGAAACAGCGATGATTGTGTTGCTAACATCACGCCTCGCGTATCTTCGGTTAATGTATTTCTTCATTTTGTCCTCGAAATGTCAAAAAATAATTTTTGAAGTTTTGACAGCTTGAACTGTCGTCTCACAACCGCGATTTATATGTAGCGCGACGCTGATTGGCTGAGATAAGGCGAAAAAGAGAAGCTTTAAAAGTCCTCAAATAACGGGACATATTCTCTAAAGCATAAGCATAGGGAGATGCCAGACTTTAGAACTATAGGACCGTGGTGTAAATTAACATGGAAAATCGCTAAAGTTACAAAATGGCGTTTTTCTAACTTTCAAACGTCAAAAACGTCAAACGTACAGGTCATATTTTTAACGCCTCACGTTGACGTTTTTGACAGCTGACGTTTGACCTTCAGCCAGTAAAAAGTACAATTTTCGGACCTTACAGCGATTTCCCATGTTAATTTAGATCAGGAACGGTCCAGAACTCCTCTAGTTTATTTACTAATAGTTGATTTAATGTACTTGTATGACTCCACCGCCGGTGCCGCCTTTCTTGTGAAGATAATCGTCGGGCAGGCCTATCATTTTCGCCAGCCAATTCATCACCACCATTTCCAGTTCCGTGCAGGCCGGGCTCGAAGCCTAAGCGAATAATTCACGTTGTAAATGCATATACAAATGCAGACTAGTAGGCCATGAGTGGTATATGATTTGCTTGAACTTCAAGTAAATGCTTAATTTCGTAGTTTTTACTTCAACAATGTATATAGCATTTACTCCACATAATTCTTAAAGTTAGACGAAAGTAAGTACTAGGAGCAATTACTTCGTACCTTACTTTATTTACTTCGATAACTAGAAGTTAGTTCTACAGAAATTACTAATGTTGCCATTTGGGAGTTTTTGGTGTAGTTTTTAAGAAGCTGATCAAAGTGTAACTTTATATCAAGTAATTCACCTAAAAAGGTGTTAAAAATGGCATTTTTAAGAAGAAAAATGATTGGATTTTTTTTTACTCAAAAGGCACAAGAAATAGAATTAGCTAAAGATGTGAATAATAAAACGAAAACTTCAAGAATTTATTTCTTGTAAAAGATTATTTTCCATCAAATACTAGGAAGTAAAAGTTCTTACTTAGAGAACAAGCAAAATACTCCTTTAAATCATACCACTCCTTATTTATTAAAATTGAAGCAATTACTTTGAAGTAAAAAATAAGAGAAAAGCAAAATGTAAGAGAAAAAGGTTGAAAACCTTAAACTAAGATTCTAAAACCATAAAACCTCTTCCTTCACACTTCTTTCTAAAAAAAAAGCACAACCTTTTGCTTCAAAAAATGAAGGAATTATACCAGGTTCACAAAGCATACTAGATTCAGAGTATACTAGGTTTATACTAGGTTAAAACCATAAAACCTCTTCCTTCGCACTTCTTTCTAAAAAAAAAAGCACAACCTTTTGCTTCAAAAAAAGAAGGAATTATACCAGGTTCACAAAGCATACTAGGTTTACAAAAGGTAATCCCAGATGAAGATGATGGAAGATCGGGGGGCTCACCCAAGTGAATCCGATGCAATTGATGGCGTTGGTGATCATCTCGCCCAACATGGAGGGGTAGCTGGAGATGGCGGGAAAGTAGGCGTGCATGTGGGGGCTCTGCCAGTGCGTGACGCCCGGCATGATGATCTTCTCGACGTCCCCGAAGATATCGGACCATTTTTCCCCGTCGACGGGGGCCCCGTCGGGGATCTGGTCGCGCACGAAGCCCGGCTTCTTGTCGGGGAACACCCGCCGGTCGCGGATCGTCTCCAGATAGTTCACGATGTAGTCGACGAGCGCCTTGCCTGGAACGTGCCGTCGGTTATGCAGCCACCCCCGCCCCACGACTCGGGGATTGTTTGTGAAAGAGACAAAGGGATATAAAGATGTCGCGATTTAACTGTTCGATATTGGCGATCAATACGCGCGAAACGGTTTTATTGGCGCGAATAAAGAAAATTGGATTTCCATTGCTCTGGGTCAATTTTGGCTCGCTTATGTGTGTAGTGACGTTTTATTGTTGCGTTGAGGAGGATTTACGGGCGTGTAAATCGCAATTGCCTTGATTTCTGGACTACTAGATATTGGGTAGGAATAATGGAATAGTAGGAATGATTAGGAATTATCGTCACGGAATTAATTTTTTTCAGTATTATTTGGATACACTCTGTATATATCAATACTTTATTTACGAACAATTAAATTACGAGTAGAAGTAGAATAGAATAGATACTTTTTTTCAGATTGTTAGGTAACAATTAAATAGCACCGCGGCAAAAATAAATTTTATGATAATTTAATTTAATTTAATTTTTAATTTTTTTTATTTTAATAAATTTTATGATAAATTTAATGAGATAATTAAAGATGTGGAGATTATCTAGAAATTTTCTCTAAAATATTCTCTAAATTTTATGCAATAATTTTCGAATTTCACTGATAAATTTACAAAATACGAGGGTAGGGGGAAAAGTTTTTGGCCTGATACACTGAGAGTGCTCCAATCAACAAAAATTCTTGTTTTCTCTTTGGGACATTTATAATTATAAATCTAGAACTGTATAGAACCATTAAGAACGCTCCAGAATCAATTAGAAGTGTCTAGATTCATTATTTAGAAGACTCCAGAACCATTTAAAACTGTCTAGAACTATCTAGAACGGCCCAGAATCATTAAAAACTGCCTAGAACTAATTAGACCGCTCCAGAATAAATTAGAATTATCTAAAACCATTTAGAACGCCGCAGAATCATTTAGAACTGTTTAGAATGCTTCAGAATCATTTAGAACTGTTTAGAATACTTCAGAATCATTTAGAACTGTTTAGAATGCTTCAGAATCATTTAGAACTGTTTAGAATGCTTCAGAACCAAATAGAACTGTCTAGAACTATTTTGAACGCTCCGTGTAGCCATTTAGAACGTTCCAGAATCATTTAGAACGGCATAGAACTAAAGATTTCGACTCAATAACAAGAATAATGTAATTTTTTAACTGAAAATCGTTGCCTTTCATCGTCAGGTCGAGAACTTTTCACCGTACCCTTGTATTTACAAATCAAGTACCTACACTCGAAATAATAAAAACAATTTTATAACACTACTTGTAGATTTTACAAATAAATACGAGTATTTGTTGCGTTGATAAGATAAAAAAAACACGAATTATTCAAACGAAAATTAAACAAAACATTCTCCTACCTTCCTTCCTGAATTCCTCGCTGTCCATCGCACAAACTACAAACCGATCTAATTAATTCAATTAATGCAATTAAATCAATTAAAACGCTCGATATGCCGGCGCTCGTCGACTTACCGATATCGCAGCGCCGCGACGCCGCCGAAACAACCAAATAAGCCGAAGCCAAATGAAAGAAAAGCGATTTCCGCGGGCTTTATATATATACGGCTTCCCGCCGCCCGTTTATTATCGGAAAACAAACTCCCTTCCCCGCGGGATTCCCAGCGCAACAATCCCTTTTCACCATTGGCCCGAATCACTCCTATACAATACCAGTCATAGAAAAACAATATACCAGTCGAAACCTAACCTTCAAGCAATCGTGAGTTGCATCAATCGAGCCTGACAGGCGACACGTCATGGCTTTCGCAGGCTTGGTGGCGAAGGCCCGCAGCCTGCAAGGCTACAAGCGCAGGCTGGTGGAGGAGAAACGCGCCGCGATGGACCACCCGAAAACCGGCGGCAGAAAATTCAAATTCCGCTGGATGCGCGCGAAGATCCAGTCGAGCTGGAGGCGCTTCGGGCGCCGCTTGGGCTACTGCTGGTGCTGCAGGCGGTCGTGCTTCAAGCTGAGGCACGCCGGCAGCCTGGAGAACTACGCGCTGAAGAGCCTGCTGGGGTTCCTCAGCGGCGTCGTGTTGACCTACGTGTTCTTCTTCGTGTTGGTGTTCCAGCTGAAGGTGCGCGTGTCGATGGCGACGGTGATGTGCTCGGTGATGGGCTGCGTGTTGGTCAACGGGCTCGCGTTCAGCTCCACAGTAAGGCAAGTCTACACTAGTAATATAATAATAAAATAGTACACACACCGGCTAATTTAAAGGAACAGATTAAAACCAGTATTTTAGTTTAGATCCGACATCTTCGACTTGTTCTCTTCTTCAACAGGTTGTGCGTGATGCATTTTTGCGAGGAATGTTCCAATTACTTCACCTAACTTTGTGTTTAGAGATTATGTTAGAAATATTAACAATATTCATATAGATGTTATATAAGTTTCTTTAAATATGCCGGTGTGTGTATAATAAATTTTTTCTTCTTTCGGTATATTCAGTACCATCTACTGAAAAAACTCTTCCAAGCCTTTTACTTCGCATTATTTTGATTCTTACGACTCTCCTATGCCCTTCCTTTCATTTTTTTTCTAGCGTTATATTAGCCTCAGTAATTCATGTTTTTTCCTCTTATTACGAAGGTAGGGTGAAAAGTTCTCGGCCTGAATCGGCGTTTAAAATGCAATCTAGAACGCTCTACAATCGTTTAGAACTGTCTACAATCATTTAGAACGTTCCAGAATCATTTAGAGCGCTCCAGGATCATTTAGAACTCTCTAGATTCATTTAGAACGACTGAGAATCATTTTAGAACTTTCTAGAATCATTTAGAGCGGCGCTCCAGAATCATTTAGAATTGTCTACAATCATTTAGAACATTCCAGAATCATTTAGAACTCTCTCGATTTATTTAGAACGCCTGAGAATCATTTTAGAACTTTCTAGAATCATTTAGACCCCTCCAGAATCATTTAAAACTGCCTAAAATCATTTAGACCGCTCCAGAACCATTTACAGCGCTCCAGAATCATTTAGAACGCTCCAGAAAAAGACATAAATCGCTGGGAAAGTCACAAAATTAACAAATTGTTGTCAAAGCACGTCAACTACAAAGAGTGGAACCATTTAGAATGCCTCAGAACCATTTAAAACTGTCTGGAACCATTAAAAATGCTCCAGAAGCACTTAATACTGTCTAGACCCATTTAGAGCACTCCAGAATCATTCAGAACACTCCAGAACTGTCTAAAGAAGTTCTCGAAACTTTGTATCTTACCCTTATATGAGCCCTAGATATTCCAGATTTTTCTTTTACTTCACGTTCCTTCTCCATTTTCTATAGTAAATTTTTATTTGCTACTTTTTCTTTAGCCCAGCACTTCAAATGCACTCTTTTCCAATAGATTAATGAACACCCTGTATATGTAAAATTCCGTCGTGATCGCGCGACGCAGCCGAATAGTATAGTAATATAAGTAGTATGCAAATGCGGTAAATTAGAAGAGGCGAATATAATTGCGTTAATTAGGTTCTGTTTGAAATGCATTCGTTTTCGATGGGCCCTACGGGCCCCTCATTTAACCCGGTCGTGTTTTCCTTACGGTCGCGTTGTTTCCAGATGTATTGTGTTGCTCACGCTGCCGCATTTCTTCAGCCGAAAGGGTCGAGAACTGCTCGTCGCCTACGCCATAGCGCTGGTGCTCGCGGGGCCCGGCCAGAACATCTTGAACAATCTCGGCGTTCTCAACGAGTCGCTGGCGTGCGGACAAGTAAGAGGCCGATATACCGATCGCTTCGATTCAGACCGCAACTCGATCGTTTCCTATGAGTTGAACAAAGAAAGGGCGCGTTCAGGGAAAATAACCGTTGAGAAGTAGCAGTCAGTATGTTGAGTCCGATACCTGTCAACAGTTGAGTATCCTCTGAACGGTGCATTAGTGTTGTTTATGCTGCACATAGAAGCGAATAAAATTGACGCTGACTCGAACTGCGACTGTTGCCAGTCAACAGGAGCTTAGCGTTGTAGTTCAGGGAACCGCTGCAGGCAACTATTGACAACAGTTGCCAACAGTTGCGTTCCCTGAACGCGCCCATTGATTAATAAAATTACAGTTGTCAGAGTGAAAAGTTGCAATGACACAAATGTCAGTCTTTCTTTTTTTCTTTATATAAGTGTCTAATGGAAGTTGTCTTTATCGAATCTATAGCATGTTTAACCTTTGTTGCGATCCGGAATGAAGCATAGTGTATGGCGGGCATTTAGGGCCAACTTTTTCTCGTTTTTGATCCGTCGTAGGAGCAGCTAAAGTCCGCCTTGCGGCAGATATTCGAGGTGATCAAGAAGCCGTTCTACGCTATTAGGGACGCCATCAAGAAAGTCATAGCCACCGTCAAATTGGTCGTCAAGAAGATCAAGGAGATTTTGATCAAAATAAAGCGAATCATAATGGCGATAAGTGAGTAATAAGTAAATAAAAAACGTGTTTTATAAATCGATTATATTCAAAATTTGAAAAAAAAACTAACAATTTTACGCGCATTGACAGCTGTCAATATTCAAACTAGCTGTCATAATGTTTTATGACGATACAACACGGTCCTTCTTACAACAGGTCTGGAAACATATTTGAGATAGTTTACTTGGCGTATGATCGGAGGATGCGCATATGGTTAACGTTCGAACTTTTATGATTTTATAACATTCGTGGCAACACCTCCAGCAACCTAAATGTTGAATTCAAAAAATATCGCAACCTACCGGTCATTTTAGGAACTTAGAGTTTCTAGACCTGCACGAAAGACCGTGGACGATACCTGTCAAACAAATCACGTTCAAACACGGACAACTCCGGTTATTTCCAGTAAGAGTGATCAAATCGGCGTTCATGTTCCTGGCGAAGATCCTCAACGTTTGCAACAAGGAACTGGGCACGCCCTTCGAACGGTGCACCAGGGTGTTCGAGAGCGCCATCGACGATTGCAACGCCAAATTGGGCCCCATGTTCAACTGGATGTGTTCCATCACCTACATAGTCCGGTCCGTCTGTTACATCGTCAAAATCTTCGACGTCGTTTGCGTCATCGTCGATTTCATCAGCAACTCCATCATCGGCGTCGTCGTCAGAAGCAAGTACACTCTCGCTATAATCAAATCGGCTGTGACGTCACTCTATTCTCAACGAGAACTCTCATTGGCTACTTAGTGACAGTCGCTACTCGGCCAGAACTCTCGTTGGTTCCTAGGTGACGTCACGACAATTTGAATCGTGTTGACGTTTCTTTAACAAAATGGCGTCGCTAAAAATGTTCAAATACGATTTGTAGAAGTGAAAACGTTCATCCGGCACATTCGTACGATGTTCTACGTGCGCATCAAGTTCTCGCATTCGTTCCATTACGAGAGCAAAGCTTCGAAGAGCGTGACGGAAATCGCGAGGGAAATCCAAGGAGAGGTGAAAAGACGATTGAAAACTGTAACAGCGGTTTTCCAATTGACTTTCATAGCCGCCGGGATGTTTATCATTCTAATGTTCATCAAGTAAGCTACTCGGAAACGCTCTATTCGCCCTACTAACACGCTTCCTGGCGTATTCCAGAGTAGTGCTATACAGGTACAGGTTTCTCACGCAAGACGGCTTCGACAACCGCTACGTCACGGAGGATTTCTTCCAGTTGGACATGCGCAGAGCGCGACACAACAGAGAAACTCTGCTGCCGCTCAACAAAAGAGAAGAGAAACTGTACGTGAAGGTGCCATTTGCTCGCATTAAAAATACTTTCTCGTGACTGTCATGCCAGGTTTTAGCTCAAATCCGGCAAGCTGACGGACGTGGAGAGCAAGAAATTGAGGAAGGCTCTGATGAACGTGTTCACTGTGACGCTGAAAGCGGCCCTCTACATGGCCAACGATTACGCGCTGTTTTGGATCATGGAAATGATCAAGTACTACGGAAGGTTCCAATCGAAAATACAGGGTACTATACCGAATTATCGCAATTGTGACTTTGCTTCAGCGCCTCATTTTAATAGTTAAAGACGCGTATCTAACTTCACGGTAGTTGTTAGGAGATTCTTTCAATTTGACAGATTTACATCTTTGTTATGGAGTAACTAGGGACATTGTTCAAATTGACAGCGCCTCTAAAGCCGCGTTTAAGGTTAAAGTGGGGCGCTGAATAGGGGGCGTTTGGTTATAGCGTGAGTATTTTAGCACCGAACGTACCGCTTCCTCACATCAGCGGCAAAGGACTCCTGGCCGATTTGCTGAGCAGCATCGTAAAGGCCTTCCAACCGATGGGGCTCACTCTGGAAATCGACACGGTACCGTGCCTACCGACGCCCATACCGCCGGATTTCGATAAATACCTCCAAATAGGTACAGGAAAATTAAATTCGTAGTACCCGTTAATAAATCCCTTCCGTTTCCAAAGCCACGCTGCTGGTCCTCTGCTGGGCGATGACCGTGCTGGAGCCCTACGGATTGAGGTTCCGCGTGTACATACTGACCTATTACCACCCGACCAGGGGCAAGCAGCGCGCCATTTGGCTGTACAACAAGATACTGCGCAAGAGGAGCTCGTTTTTGAAGTTCGCCAGGCGCCAGTTGCGCAGGAGGTTCCTCGGCGACAAGTCCATCGATAAGGTCACTTGCAAGGAGTATTTGGCCGCCAATTTTAGGTAAAAAACCCGATTTGGGTAACGCTTAAACGTTCTGGTGAGCGGAATTGGTGTATTTGATGTTAGGATATTCGCGTTGTGCTTCGACGAATCCCACCCGGCGTGCCTGCTGTGCGGGAAAGTATACAGAGACGATGATGAGAAGCCGATCAAATGCGCTACGCCGAATTGCGCGGGGATTTACTGCGAGGAATGCTACGCGGACTTGAAGAACCTCTGCACGGTGTGCCTGTCGCCTATAGAATACGGAGATTTCTCCGATCTGAGCGAAGAAAAGTAACTTCACTCGCCCCTATTATAGTAGTACTAGGAGACTTTGTAATGCTTAACGACTAAACCTCTTCAAGATACCATTACAGGTAGAAAGTACCCGCTGTAATTATGAATTACAGCTTTATGATTCAAAGGTCCTGGTACTACTATATCTATTAATCAACTATCTATCATTAATAGTCATCATCTGTTATCTATCGCGTGTAGGGACTCGTCGGAAGAGGAAGTAGAAGTGCGAGTACGTCGAGAGAAAAAACCTTGGAGTCGATTTCTATCGAAATATTGCAAGAAAAGTACGACTTCTCGCGAAGAGGTACCTTTGGTGGCCTTATCGGAAGCTTCTGGCGCGAATCCTTTTCGAGGACTGATAGAAAACGAAGAAGATTCCGGTAAATTCGTCCGCCGAATAGCTCGTTATCTTTCGTTAAACGTTTTTACAGGCAATCAAACTAACCATTCGACGTCTACGAATTATTCGTATTCTTATCAGTACGACAAGCGAAGTTCCTCTGCGGGTTTGCCCGGAACGTCGGAGAAAGACGTGGAGAAACAAGCCATCATGGATTACGCTAGTATGGATAATTTTAGAGATGGAATAGGAGAATCCGATAAGGAAGAGACTACATTGTTGTATTACGCTCGCGAGTTTATTGGACAAAACGATGACAGTGAAGGTATACAGATAGGTGCAAATTTGTACACAAACAGTGGTTAGAATGAGAAAGTTGCCACCCCCGCTCTTTCTCCTTTATATTAGACTAATAGAAGTTGTCTTTGTTGCACCCAAACATTGTCGTTTGCAGAAAGACGAGACGAATTGATCCAAACCGACGGGATTTCGAAAGAAAAAACGAGCAAACAAACATCGACGACTATAATGGAGAAGAAACCGGAGAAAATCGATATTGGAACTTCTGGTAAATGAGTACTTTTGGATTAACAGCAATTAAAATACGATTATTACAGCTCGTAGCCAAAAACGCATCGATTTCATCGGCGTGGACGATTCGAATGGAGTTCAAAACAGGAAAAAAATAAAAAGGAAACGCAGGAAGCGCACCGTGTTGTACAAACACGATACAGATTCGGATGATGCCGGTATAGAATACTGGGAGAAAACTTCGATGATTGCCGTGTCTAAAAGTACAGCATCAACTAGCACTAAAAAAGGTATCCTCGTATCAATTAAGAGCTCGAAATAAGGTCGAGGCGGTTCGTTATAGACTAGTATGAACATTTTATAATTTCTTTAGTAGATTTTGAAAAGTGTTCGTCTATAATATGTAAATGTAAAAAATTCGAAGAGGAAAATACGAGCGATAGCGTGGCGATTTCCTCTTCCAGCGAATTACTCACCGCCGTAGACCCGAAGGAATGGAGGCCACGTTGTTCGAGCTGCGTACACCAAGAGAAAAGGTCCAGGTTGAGTATGTTTTTCAAGAAAGTTATCCCGAAGGTACCTTCACGTATTTCTATAAAAATTACGATTCACCAACCGTCATTTTCAGTACAAGATTTACCACGAAAAATGATCCCCGATATTTTTAAGCATATAAAATAACTGTTAATTTAAGTTGTAGGGTTGTTAGTAAAAAAAACAATTCGTTCACGACTCAATTCTTTAATTACAAAACAAGAAAAACCCTACATGCTAATTAAATGTATTCAAAACATTCACACTTAAAATAACTTCTTCAATCAATCGATCCTTCGTTTTTTCACTATCGAACCAAGCTGCAACAAAGTAAACAGTTTTTGAAAGTTTTACATTGTTGTTATGGAGTAACTAAGGAGATTTTTTCCAATTGACAGTTTTACATTGTTGTTATGGACATGTTTACATGGCAACAAACCAGTGTTTTAAATAAAAGGAAAAAAACACTTACCAAATCCGAAATGGCGGGTAAATTATTAGTCTGATCCCCGGCCCCGGTGTTTGCCTCACCGGTCGATTTCGATCCTTTTATATTCCTGTGTTGAGGAAAGCTCGGCATCAATTTCGGATCGCAAGCTTAACAAAAACAAAACCAATTATTACCCCACCAAACACTAAACTAACAAGCTTACGTTGCGGGGCTTCCTTGAAGTAACTGCTCTGCAAGCATTCCTCGGCCGTGGCCCTCTTCCTCGGATCGTACATGAACAGGAAATTCAACAGACGCAGACCGGCCGCCGACAGCCAAGGGAACCTCTGCTTCAAATTGTTGTAGGGCTGCTGTTTCAACGAGAAATTCTGCAAGGCCGGCAACTGGCTGAAACCCGGCCATATGGCGTCCGACGGGGTACCCAATAAATCGACTATAAGCTCGAGCTGTTGTATCTCGGAGCGCCCCGGCAACAGCGGTTTGTGCCCCAACAATTCCCCTAATATACAACCGGCTGCCCACATATCCACGCTCGTTGTTTGGGTGGGCGCTTGTAAGAGCAGCTCCGGTGCTCTGTACCAGAGGGTCACCACGTGAGGTGTCATCGGTTTTAACGGAACTCCGAAATACCTCGCCAGACCAAAATCAGCTAAAAATTTAACAATACTTAATTCGATCGATTGAACTTTGCGAAATTTAAACCGTACCGATTTTAACGCAACCCTTATCAGTCATGAGCAAGTTAGATACTTTCAGGTCTCTGTGTACGACGAAATTGTGGTGTAAATACCGCAGGCCTCGCAATACTTGCAGCATGATACATTTCACCTGGGACTCGGTGAAAGGGGCTTGCATGTTGTCCAATAACGAGGCCAGGTCTTGCTCGCAGTACTCCATTACGAGGAAAATACTACAAACGATTGTTGTTAATAAAAGGGACGATTTGTTGAGATGATTACCTTTCCAAGCTTCTACCTACGACGACTTCCTTCAGATGCACGATGTTCTCGTGCTTGCAATTCAATAGAACTTGAATTTCTCTGAGGCTGCTTACGGGGATGCCGTCCCGTTCGAGATCCATGCGTACCTTCTTTAAGGCCACGATTTTATCGGATATTTGGTCTTTGGCGCGATCTAACGACAATTTTATTCAGTTTTCTATTAATTCAACGTGTTTTTAACAACTTACAAACTATACCGTACGTTCCCTCGCCGATTCTGTTGAGTTTGTCGAATTCCGAAACGAATCTACATCTCCCTAACTAAACAAATATTTTAATTAAACGGAATAATATAAGTAAAGGCGCATTACCAAGTCGGAATCTGGAATGTTCATGGATTTACCGGTCAGGAAAGATGTGAGAATGCCCTTTTTCATAATGGGGGCTGAAGGTTCGGCTCCGTTTTCCATGTCTTTGCATTTGGACGGTGCTAAAAATTAACCGGTTCGTGATTTGCTTCAAGTAATCGATCGAAATACTCACATTTTTTTATAATATCGGTCGCCATTGTATTGTATTTATCTAAAAAATTAATATTTTACACACAAAATACCATGTTTGTTTAAATGACTGAAAACAAAATTTGACAGTTGACTTGACACTAATGACAAGTGACATAAGCTATTTACAAAAATAAATCCCAGAGTTGCCAATTATTTGTCATTTATTAACGTAATAAATCGTAATGAAATCATAGAGAAACATGCCGATGAAGTAAAAATTAACAAACTACATTACGAAAAGTGCGAAATAATACATTAGTAGAAAAATAATCGTAATTCAAATTTGATTGATGTGGCAACTGGCAACACCGCGTGCCGGTGTTTCATCGTTTTGACAGCGCGAAAAAAACATTTTGACGTTGCGGCTGTGTATTTTATGTTTTTGTCCATTTTTAATCGTTTCAGTCACCTTTTGTAGGTAAATGGTAGATTTTTTAATGTGTTTTTAGATCGTCGTAACGCTTAATGAACTGGTAAGTAACGCCAAATCGTCCACAAACATCGTTTACACCGTCTACGATTTCAGTTTAATATGGAGATGAAAAGCGACTTGGATTTAAGCGGTAAATTAATAATTAAAGTGCAACTAGGAGACGATATACGGCGAATTCCCATACACAACGAATCGCTCACGTACGATGAACTGGTGCTAATGATGCAGAGGGTTTTCAGGGGCAAATTGTCCGCCAACGACGACATCACCATCAAATACAAAGACGAAGGTACACTTATCTGATAAGCTCATTAAACGGATTACATCGCAACGACTCGTTCTATTTATATTCCAGACGGCGATCTAATAACGATATTCGAAAGCAACGATCTGTCGTTCGCCATACAATGCAGCAGGATTTTAAAACTACAAATTCTACTAAACGCCGATTTGAAAAAGGACTCGCACACCGCCCTCTCCTCGAACGAGGTCGGCAATTTGAAGAAACAGCTCAGGAGCATCAGGGATCAGGTTAACACGATACTCGAAACCATCGATGTGCAGGAAACCAAGCCGACCAACACCGGACGCGGAGGTACACTAATAAAACTCTAACCGTAAACCAAACTCAATCGATTCTAATCTAGATGCCGGAGACTCGTCCAACATAGACCTCAACCAATCCGGTCCCTCCATGAGCAAGGTCAACTCGAGCGAATTCGACCCGTTGCAGGAGAAGAACCAGAAAAACGGCACCGAAGAAGCCAAGGATAACTCGAAACCGTCTACTCCGCAGATCAACAACGAAGGTATAACCTAATGAGAATCTACTAGTAGCTTAACGAACAGAAACTTAAGAACCTTGGTCGAGACATCTCGATGAAGGACCGAGTCCTTCTCAATGGATGCGAACACTCCGGGAGGACTCGGTCCGATGTTTCAGCAGCCCCCTGCAAAGGGGACTTCTCTCAAAAACCTTGGTTATAGAGGTGTTTTCCCAGACAACAGCGCCTTTTCGATTCGCTCGGAATGTAATTAGATTCGTACGATTTCAGCGGGAAGCCGACCGCAATCGGTGTCGATGACGACGACGCCGAGCCAACAGAGCGTCGTGACGTCGGCGGCGAATCCGCACGGCATGTCGGACTACTTCGGCAGGGCCTCGAACGCCGGCAACTTCCCGGGCATGCAGTACAGCTCGTTGCCCTATCCGCAGCAGTATAACTTTCAATCGAGCGGGTAACTTGTTAAATACTAGAATTAATGTGAGTTATGACGAATTTTTGCGCAGGCGCTACGTGCCCCAAGTGATGGAGACTCCGCAGCAGGTGTCGAGCAGCAACTACTCGAACGCGAACCTGCCCTACGGGCAACAGCAGCAGTACGGGCACTCGCCGGTGGTGTATCCGTCGTCTACGCAGGGCAATCCGTACCCGAAGGGCTTCGCCCAGCCGTCGCCCCAGCACGGTTTCATGCCCCCGCGTCAGTAAGAACGTTTGGCTTAATGTAAAGAAACGAAAAACAGGAATTTATTTAAGGATTAAAACGTGTACCCTTTGGCGGTCGATGTAAAAGAAATTTGTACGTTAAACTGATGATATTAAATGTTATTTCTAATCTAATTCGAGTGGGTTCGAACGTGGTTTTTCAAAATGTGGTAGCGCGGGAAGTACTCGGAGCAGACGTCGCATTTGAAGGAGCCCTCGTTGTGGATCTTCATGTGATGGTTGAGGTTGTGTTTCCACGTGAACGCCTTGGAGCAGACGTCGCACTGGAAGGGTTTCTTGCCGTCGTGCAGGAGAATGTGAGCGTCCAAGTTGCGCTTCTCGATGAACTGCTTGGGGCAGTAGGTGCAGTGGAAGCGCTTGGTCTCCCTGTGGATCAACGCGTGCTTGGCGAGCCGGCAATTCGAGACGAAGCCCTTGTAGCAGACGTCGCACTTGAAGGGCTTGTCCTCCTCGTGCATCTTCATGTGCGTGTTCAACTTGGAGCGCTGCGTGAAGGATTTGGGGCACAGGTGGCAGGCGAAGGGGCGCTTGCCCGAGTGGATGAGCAGGTGGTCTTTGAGCAGCTTCTTCCTGAAGAAGCGCTTGTCGCAGGAGTCGCACGCGAACGGTCTGTCGCCGGTGTGGGTCTTCAGGTGGTTGTCGAGGGAGTGCTTGGAGGCGTATTGGTTCGAGCAGATCTCGCACATGAAGGGTTTGCGGTCGTGGTCGGGTTTCTTTTCGTGGGACAGCATGTGCCTGTTGAGTTTGTAAGCGTGCGAGAACATCTTGAAGCACACGCGGCAGTTGAGGGGTTGCTCTGGTCGGTCGGGTTTCTTTTCGTGCACGAGCTGGTGCCTTTTTAGGCTGCGGTTTTGGGCGAAGTTTTTGTTGCAGACGTCGCACGCGAAGGGTTTGTCGTTGAAATGGCGCAGGGCGATGGTGAAGAGTTCGTTGCGGGTGGGTTTTTTGGTGCGGCGGTTTTTCTTGGGTTGGTGCAGGACGTAGTGGTTTATGTATTGTTTCCCGTTGAGGCAGGTTTCGCCGCAGGAGGAGCATAGTACGGGTTTTTTCTGGAAGTGTCGATGGAAGTGGTACTTGCGCGATTTTTTGTTTTGGAATTCTGGAAATTAATAGTGTTTAAGTTAATGTGGTTAGTTACATTAAATTACTCACTTTTTCTACAAATAGGGCAGTAGTATATCTTGATCTTTTTCTTAATAGGATCACAACCACGGGAATCTTTGCTAGTGCAAGGTTTCGTAAACACGTTCTCCGTGTAAAAGTTTGATAGGTGCTCCGATTTGATCGATTCGTTATCAACTAATTCCTCTTTGATTAAGCTTAATGTATTTAATAAAAAATTGGAAGGATTTTCATTTTCGCTGGATGATATCATTTGTAGGAACTCCGGTTTCTCGTCGTTTTCTACTTTAATTTCTATCAAAGGCTCCAAATGCAAATTGACTTCATATTCCGATTTTTCCGTCTTAATAACGAAATTTTCATTTTGTTGCACATCATCCATTCTTTTGATTCTTTTCAATCGAAAATAATTTCATAACATAACCTATAAACGGTAAACGTCAAAAACTATTCCTCTTCTTTTTTATTTAATATACTGTCAATTGTCACTTTGTCTATTTGTGCAATCAGTTCAATTTTTGAAATTTGCCGATAAAAATTTTTATGAGATAAATTGTTTTTTTTTGTGGATAGAGTAGATGTTATAAAATAAATGCATTTATTAATTATGTATAATGGGTGATTTAGAATAGTAATTGGTAAAATGTGATTTTGATTAAAAGGTTAAATAATTCTGAACCACCCAGTATAAAATTGCTAGCCTACAAAATATAAAGTACGTTATGGAATCTTACGATAAAATAAATACAATTTGATTAAAAATTTCTAAGCAGTCCTTAAAAAAATGTCTTTTTACAGCGTAATAAAAAAAGATACATGGTAACAAAAAAATGGAAAATTGTCTAGTTTTCTTCGTTATTTTGAAGTACCCTGTATGCACTACTTAAAAAATTACTGTATTTTATAGACCCGCATTAAAACAAACAATAAAGGAATGCTTACAAATACAATTAATAAATATTAACAGATCATTAATAATTAAGTACTTAAATACGTTGAATTTCGAACAATTTCACGTCCGTATCGTACCAAATGGGCGGATCGATATTCCTAAAACACCCACAAAAACTCATCCATTAAAAATACACACAACATTCGGCGACTCACCTCAAATAAATAACGCCCCACATGTACGTCCTAAACCAAGTGGTAGTCCCCGAATTCGCCTGATATTTCCTGATAAGAATCGGATGCGGCACCGGCAACAAACCCACCAGCGTACCGTGCTGCAGGAACTTCAATATCTCGCTCTCATCAGTCACTCCCCTTAAAAAAATATATATAAACCGTATTTATACATATAAATAGCGGTAGAAAAGGTACCTTTCGATGCATATTTTCTCCACCTGCGGCACGAGCACCTGCAACAACCGCATGATGGTCTGCAACGGCAATTTCGTCTTCCACGAATGCACCCACTCGCTGGTGGGCACCCACTGCCCGTTTCGCCCTTCCGCCGGCGTCGTCACCCTCAAGCTATTCCTCTGAAACACAACTCAAACGATCCACGTCCGCTCTATTACATTACTCAAACAATTACCGATTTCACGGCTCTTTTAAACTCCGATTTAGGCGTCGTCGGCGCGGAAGTCTTCTCGCTATCGTTCTCCTGCATCGTTTCGTCTGCGTTTATACTCAAAGCGCTCGCGCCGTTAGCGAGGTGAGCCTCCTGCTGGTGGGCCGCCTCCCGCTCGGTCATTTGGGCGATCTGCGGCGTGTCCGGCAGCGTGGCCTTGAGCGTGCCCGGCTCGGCGGGCAGCGCCGGATGGGCGCCCACCATGACGGGCTCCGACAGGTTCTCCATGCTGGTGCTCGAGAGCTTCTTCTTCGGCCGCTTGTTCACCGATTTCGATATGGTGCAATAATCCACCGGCAGATTGACCAAGCTGTGGAACACGTGGCGCTTCCGGATGATGGTGTACACGAGATTCGAGTTGCCGTCGAACTGGTACTGGATGATGTTGTTGAAGATCTCCAGCAGGAAGAACACCAGGTGGTGATTGGAGGACGAAGAGAACAGGAACCAGGGCGTGCTGAAGGCTTCCAGTAAGTGCAGTAGCTTCGTACTGGCTACCATCGATAGCGTTTTCAAATAAGGAGATACTGCGAAACCGATCGGTGTAATTAATAAATACTCGATGATTCGAGTGTGAGTTACCGTTGACTAGTATGGTGAGGAGGCAATCGAAGAGAGGCTGGAGTCTTTGGTGTCCGGTGGTTACGATTTTGTGGAACACGATGATCAATAGATCGGCGTGGGTGCCAGTGAAAACCGGTATATCCATTGGAACTGTAGCGGTGTAGGGTTTGTTCAGTCTCACGCCGAAGTTCCTTTCGCCCGATAGTAGAAGCAATATGAAAACTCCTATGTGCATTAATCCGACTCGCGCTACAAACATTTCATTAGTTTATTTACTGTTCAATAACGCTATAGTGTGTTGCCTATTATCTAGGCGTTTCGATTCCCTCGAACGGAGTAGTAATAACTCACATTGATCGGCTCTGGAGTCGTTCAAATGGTACAAAATCGGCACGAGTATCTCCAGAACGTCGCTGGACTTCAAAACGAAGTACAAAAATTTCTGCAAAACGACAAAAAATAACTCGTTTAACACCTCGCCAATTCCTCCACCTAAATTCACCTTATTGTAATCGCACAATTTCCAAAAGAAAATCAGCAACTCCTGGTGGAAGTGCACCTTCTTGGTGGAATTCGGCAGGTAGGTTTGCAACAATGGATTGTTCAGCAGGCGCGTGATGCCCGTCAGAATGAAATTGAAATCCTCGTCTCTGTGTATTCGAGATAGGTAGTTTATAAACAAATTATCCGGCGAGGGTACCTGAAAGGTACAACGAAATAAATTCACCGTATACGCATTGTAAAAGTCTCCTCACATCGTCGCTTTCCGCGTTCGAATTGCTCGTGTCGTGATCGAGGGTCACGATGAGAATTTGCAGCGCGGCTTCCACTAAAGGCTCCAACGAATCGTTGAACAGTAAATGATTGTACGGTACTCCCAATCCTACGGGATCGTATCCACAAACTGTGTTCAATAAAGAAGTGAACATGGGTAGAGCGTGCCTGTTCTCGGCCGATGTAAGGTGTCTAAAAATTCGAATTTTAGTAACATCTATCCGGAGTGATCGAGCGTATTAATTACAGTATCCATTTGTTGGGATTCTCTTTGATGTCCGCTGGTGGGTGGTACATAGTTTCGCTGAAGCATGTTAAAAGTAGTTTCAATAATTCCGTTCGATTCGAATCGAAGGAGGGATTTCGAGAGGGCGAGTGAGCGAAACCCACGCCGGCTTCCCAAATGTACTCGCAACTGTCTATAGCCGATAATTCTTCGGCTTTATCGGGTCCGCTTTTTCTGCTGGGGATTACGGTGAAGTCCGGACAAAACAGTAGCTCCTAAAACGAGGTAAAATTATTGCGAGATGAAATAATTGTAATATTACTTACGCATAATGAATTTAGTAAGGAATGGGCCAGAGGAATTGATTCTGCATGGTCTTCTTCACGGCTAGGCAACGAAGACCAGAAGAAATCCTTCCATTCAGGATCCTCGAATATGTACGGTAGGACTCTTGTAAGCAATCGAGAGCAATTCAAAACTGAAAACAACGGTTTAGATCTAACTAACAGTACATTTTATACGAATTTTATTACCTGTTAGTTGTTCTTGGTGGGTTCTACAACTATTATCCACAGCTTTTACTAGTTTCTCGACTGCTTTATAACACAATGTGGCCAAATTGGTGGGCGCGTCTTCGCGTAATTGTCTTATTTCCGCCGATGGGACCAACGTGAATATATCTTGAACGTTCGTTACGTTTTCGGACCAGAATTGTTCCCAAAAAGCGTCGTCGCTCGTGTCGATTGGCTACAAAAACATTACACGTATCCGCGACAAATGGCGATTAAACGGATTACCTCTGATTTCGATGTGAGTTGCACTACTGCCTTTCGAAAATTCAATTTAGTGTCCACGTTTCCCATATTGTTTGATTATTTTTAAACGCTAAGATAAAATAAATAATCAATAAACTTCCTTCATGTTCGCTAAACGTCAATTATCTGTCAATTTTTGACACAAAACAGGTGGTGATTTGAACTCCATCTGTGCTCGAAACCAGCGCTTTTTTAATAAATATGACGCATTTTAAGAAGTATGTTTAATTAAATTTTTAGGAATTTTATAATGTTGGTTGTATTTAATATCAACATACATTACATACATTAATATACATACTATTGGTGGCTGTGTAAGTAACTTAATGAGGGCCATTATTCAAAAAAAATGGACGTCATTGTCAAATGTCAATCGGTCATATAGGTCATAAATAAAAATATTGAGTCATATAAAATTAACTTTATGGAAATAAACCGAATTAAACCTCGGTCGCAGACATGAAATTGCACCAATTAAGTAACTAATACGACAAACTTTCCAATGTGGTAAAAATGAATCGAAGAAAAAGGAAGTGGAAATACAAAAAATGAAGTCTACTACTATAAAATTCTGCTCTGTTTGGTTAGCTATATACGCATCGATCACCGCCGTTATTTCCTCCGAATATTCACCCGAAAACGACAACGATGGTTACATAGAATCTCCCATTTGCTGCAACCTCACCACCGAACGGGTGGAGGTCAATTACACATCGAAAATAGTCGAAAACGAATACATAGTCATGTTCAACGGCTATTACACCGACGAGGCGCGCTTGAACTACATCAACACCGCCTTGAACACGTCCGGAATTCGCAAGTGGAAGGTCCTCAGCAGAGAAAACCCCGCCAGTGATTACCCCAGCGATTTCGATGTCGTGGTCATCGAGGACTCGGACAAAATGGAGGGTCTGAACGCCCTAAACAAACATCCGGCCGTTAAAAGAGTCACGGCTCAACGTATGGTTTCTCGTACACTGAAAATCAGCCCTAAACAAAGAGCCGGAAGAAGCCTTAATTCGAATTCTAAAATCAATGCGAAGAATCAATTCAGGCATATTAATCGTAGATTGTTCAGGGCGATACCTCGCCAGATAACGTCAGTTTTACAAGCTGATTCTTTATGGAATATGGGCATTACAGGTATGTAAATAGTTTGTGCGTATTTACCATTTTATTTAAAGCATTGTACGTTTCAGGTAAAGGCGTGAAAGTGGCCATATTCGATACGGGCCTATCGAAGAACCACCCGCACTTCAGGAAGATCAAAGAGCGCACCAATTGGACCAACGAAAAGACCTACGACGACGGACTCGGGCACGGCACGTTCGTGGCCGGCGTGATAGCCTCGAGCAAGGAGTGCTTGGGCTTCGCCCCCGACGCCGAATTGCACATTTTCAAAGTGTTCACCAACAAACAAGTCTCCTACACCTCCTGGTTCCTGGACGCCTTCAACTACGCCATATTGAAGAAGATCAACGTGCTGAACTTGAGCATCGGCGGGCCCGATTTCAAGGATCACCCGTTCGTGGATAAAGTGTGGGAACTCACGGCTAATCGAGTACGTGTTAAATAATCACGAAATTATAGAAACTTATTCGAATCGAATCGATTTTAGGTGATTATGGTGTCTGCTATCGGCAACGACGGACCGTTGTACGGTACACTGAACAACCCCGGTGATCAAATGGACGTCATCGGCGTGGGCGGCATAAACTTCGAAGATCACATCGCCAAATTCTCCTCCAGGGGCATGACCACGTGGGAACTTCCCCAAGGTACGAACACCTCGACCGGCCGGTTATCCAGCCACAAATAACACTCCGCTCGTATTTTTTCCTAGGATACGGTAGAGTGAAGCCGGACATCGTGACGTACGGTTCGGCCGTGAAGGGTTCCCACAACAAGGGCGGCTGCCGGTCACTGTCGGGCACCAGCGTGGCCTCGCCCGTCGTAGCGGGGGCCATAACGTTACTGGCCAGCGGCGTGTTGCATCGCGGCGACGTCATCAATCCGGCCAGCGTGAAACAGGCTCTGATGGCATCGGCGAGAAGGCTGCCGGACGTGAACATGTTCGAACAGGGCCACGGGAAATTGAATCTGATGAAGGCCTATCAAATATTGAACAGCTACACGCCTCAAGTAATATACTCGATACGAATAGAGAGAGCTTTATTAACGTGTATCTATTTCAGGCTAGCTTGAGTCCGAGCTACATAGACCTCAGCGAATGCCCTTACATGTGGCCGTATTGCACCCAACCGCTCTACTACACGTCGGTGCCGGTCATCGTGAACGTGACGATTTTGAACGCGCTCGGCGTGTCGGGCAGGATAGTGGGTAAACCGCAGTGGTATCCGTACACGCCGCAACAGGGCCATTTGCTCGAAGTGGCCGTCACGCATTCGGAGATCCTGTGGCCTTGGTCCGGTTGGATGGGCGTCTACCTGTCGGTGACCAAAGAGGGGGCGACGTACGAGGGCCTGGCCCAAGGGCACGTGGAGTTTACGGTGGAATCGCCGCCGGGCGACGGGGAAACCGACGTGAGAGAGAGCACCGTCAAGTTGCCGGTACGGGCGAAGATCATTCCGGTGCCGCCCAAGCAGAAGCGGATCTTGTGGGATCAGTTCCACAATTTGCGGTATCCGCCCGGTTATTTTCCGAGGGATAATCTGAAGGTTAAGAATTACCCGTTGGATTGGAACGGGGATCACATCCACACGAATTTTAGGGATATGTACCAGAATTTGAGGAACAAAGGATACTACGTCGAGGTGTTGGGTAAATACGTTCCGTTATTTTAATAAATTCGTTGTAATATTCGTGTCTTTTTCGTAGGTTCCCCTTTCACTTGCTTCGATGCATCACAATACGGTACGTTGTTAATAGTCGATCCCGAAGAGGAATTCTTCCCGGAGGAAATCATGAAATTGAAACGCGACGTCGACGCCGGTCTATCCGTGATAGTATTCGCCGATTGGTACAACGTTACCGTTATGAAAAAAGTCAAATTCTACGACGAAAACACCAGACAATGGTGGATGCCCGATACAGGTACATTACACAATATACCGATTGCTTCAATTCAGACCGCAACATGATCATTTCTATGAGTTGAACAAAGAAAGATTGATAAAGTAACGGTTGTTAAGACGTTTGGTTTCGCAGGTGGCGCCAACGTGCCGGCGATAAACGAACTATTGGCCTCTTGGGACATACAATTGGGCGATAGGGTGTTCGAAGGGAAGTACAAATTGAACGAGCACGAGGTTTACTACGCGTCCGGTAACAGCATTCGAAAATTCCCCAAAAACGGCGTCGTCGTAGCCAGACAATTGACGGATTACGGGGCGGAGGTACCGTTAATTATTGCATTACATGTAATAATCGATTTAATTTGCGTCGTGTTTAGATTATAGGCGAATCGGACGGGTTTCTCTACGACGTACCCGTACTGGGTTTGGTGCAGACGAAGTCGAACGAGAAAAAGAGCGGCAGAATAATAGTGTACGGTGACTCGAATTGCATCGATTCCAGCCATTTGGAAACCGATTGTTATTGGCTGTTGGACGCCATGTTGGAATACACTTCTACATCACATCTACCTAATGTTTTTAAGGATAATAATTTCAAAGGGTGGGAAGGAATCGCCGATACGGATACGCCTCGACGAATGGAAGGAAATCGACTGTATAGGTAATTAATAACTGGTTCAAACAAGTTTATATTGTTAAGTGCAAGTTTTTTTGCAATATGGTCAATGTTATGAGTTGAACAAAGAGAGATTATTGAAATAACATAGTGGTTAGAGTGCGACAGTTATTACTCTTTCCTTTTTCAAACAAATTTGCACTAAAATTCTATAAAAACTAGTTAAAAAGCCTTTAATTACATGCTTCGAAAAGTATAATATATTTCAATCAAGTCAATGTCACTAATCTTGACATACGAAATGTCAATTTCTAATAAATCAAAACAGTTAAAGCTTGCTAACAGTATAAAGATAATTTAATAATACAGAATTTAACGATTAATAATAAAATTACTGCTGTATACAAAAACTAATTGATTAATAAGAAAATTACTGTTCACCTCATAATTATACAGCACCGTCTTGATTACATTTGTCCAATGACCGATTCGAGAAAGTAAAGATGGCCGACTCTTCCGTTTGTCTCGCCAATCAACGCAATCTTGTGTTTTTTATATTATAGAAAATACTCTTTTCGTCGAAATAAATTGACATTTTAGCATAATTAAGCAATAAAATCACAATTCCGATAAAAAAAACCACTACTTATTTGTTAAACGACTAATTTATTAAAACCGTCAACATCAACTGTCACTTCGAAATAATTCGGATATGGCTACTCGACCGCAATTCGGCCGTGTCTACTCGGCCGCCCCTTTACCACCGTGAAATTAACTTTCCGATCGATTCCAACAGATATTCGAACGTGCTGGAAAAAAGCCTGGGCGAAGCGCACGCCAAACCCGTACCGCAATGTCCTCGGCTCGCCTGGTCGCAACCCGTACCGTTGAACGTCTCCGCGCCGAGCGATCTCTACCAATCCCAGAAGCTGCTGTCGCTCTCCGACGACGTCCACGTCGCCCTGCCGGCCGACAACAACATCAAAGGTCAGTAGACTCGAAGGAGAGGCCCCGCCCGTCGCGCCGCCGGACCGGTAGACCCATCGGTAATGTAGCTTAAACGGTGTTTCAGACGCGTCGGGCGTCGACGGCAACGGCGACTTCATCGAGTGGAATTGGCGCAACAAGCCGGCCGGCGCCGCGACGGCCCGGCCCGAGGACTTCGATCTGACCGTTACGGTGCTGGTGGTACTGTCGCTGGCCGTTATTTACTACAGCGTCAGGTGGTGCAAGCCGAAGCCGAAGAAGCGGAAGCTGTGCAAACGGCTGTTGTCTATAGTCAATTGCAGGCGAACGTCGAGCGTGTGAGGATGTTCGTGTATGCAGGTAGATGCGAAATTGTTCGCCATGTGGTCGATTCGAGAGAGATTACGGGGGACGTTTACAAAGTTGTAGCGATTTTTTCACTTTGACAACTATGTTATTTTAATGCGAGGGACGTTTCTAAAGTTCCAAACTTGTAGACGAGTATTTACATGTTTGTGCAACTATCCAGTGCAATATATTGGGTGGTATGGACTCGTTTTTGTAACCATGAAAGATGCAATAAAATCTCAACAAATCAATCCTGTGATAAATAGAGTATAACTTTCGGATTCTGTAGACTCACCTTGTAGACTCTGATGAATTTCTGATGTTTCCACGTTAAGAAAATTATTGCTCTTCAGTCGAATACCTGAATCAAACTGAATATATTGCACTGGATAGTTGCATAAACATGTCAAGACTAGTCTATAACTAATAACGTATTCTATAAGTTCCCTCGTATTAAAATAACATGATGATTAGAGCAAGAAAGTTGCAATCAACCCACAATAATCACTCTTTCTTTGTACATTGTACGAGACTAATTAAAATTGTCTTTGTTGCACCCGTATAGACCATGTTGCGTACAAATTTGCACTTAAACGTATGTATAATTTAATTGTTTTAATACTCTGAAGAGCGTTTTTGCGCGGTGCAATATGTTGCATGTTTATTGCATAATATATTGCACGGTGTGGTAACGCTCTAGGTCGCGATGAATTGGATCGATTGGGATTCTCGAAAATCTGTTGTAACGTGCGTACTAATTATTGTATAGTTGAATTTAAGACATTTTGTATATAAACACCGATTTTTTTTATGATAAAACACAAGTTTCGAATTGATTGTTTTTTTAGTGTAAATTAAAATTGTATTAACCTGGTTGATTTATCGGAAGTCCATTTTTTCTTTCCACCGGTAATTGTTACTAAGTAGCGGCATTATCTAATCTGTTTTCGTTTTTTTAATATTAATATAATTAGAAAACTATTAAAATATTGAACGATTTTTAATGGTGAAGCGTTAATGAATAGGAAGAGAGGAATTTCCAGTGCGTCCCATTTTTAACAACACTTACCTTTTTTTTAACAATATATTGCACACAATTATTATTAAATGTTGCATACAATAGGATAGGATTCCTGCTAAATATTAAAGAAGATAGAATAACCCTTACAATTTCCCAATTCAATAGTGACTGTAAACTCGAAATGTCGGGGCAACTTATCTAAAGCTCCCCTAATTTCATCACCATTAATTTGTCACAATACCCCTTACACTTAAAATCTTTAAAAATAATCTTCAGTACATTAATGCAACGTTTCTTCCCTTCGAAACGAATCACCCTGTTACAATTTCCCAATTCAATAGTGACTGTAAACTCGAAATATAGAGTCAACTTATTAAAAAACTCCCCTAATTGTATCCCGATTAATTTCGCAACACCCATTATACTTAAGAACAATAAAAACGAATCTTCAGTACATTAACGCAACGTTTCTTCCCTTCCACCGCGTCACCATCAAGTAAACAAAGTCATAAACATGTCGAAATGAAACGCCGAAATAACGGTTTAGAGTCGCCGATTTTTTTCCATCGAATTTTCGATCGAATCGTTTAAAAACCGGGCGATTACGGGTTCGTAACGGTACAGGAGTTCACTATTCGCCGGTGCCCTCGACGGCTCCTCCGCTTTTTATTCTTATTTCTCATTTATTCTCGCGTCGAGCTCGACACGCTCCGGTCAAGAGGATTTAAAAGCGCCGGACTCGACGAAAATTCCACAAAATCGCCGAGTTTATTCGCTCGCTAACCCGCCTTCGGTAAGTTGATAATATTTTTGGTGATTTACATTTTGGCGAGTTTTGTATAGGTGTAATACCGCTTTATTTGTGTTACAATAGAGGAATTTATCCGCCGGATAACTCGGTTTTCTAGTGGTGTACACCCTGTATATAATTTAATTGCAGGTGACTACTCGAAATATCCAAGATGTTGAAATACCTGGTGATTTTAACGATATTCGCGAGCGGATTTCACGCCCTCATCCCCGATTACGCGGAAAACGACACCCTCAGCAACGATATAAACGATCTGCAAGACAACAACCCCCTCGCGGCGGTTTATGGTAATTTAATGGAAACCTTGAAGTACCCCAAAGACGTGGAACTCAACGAATACATCACCTTCAGCACGAACAACCCCCAACAAGTGGACGCGCAGAGCAAAAACAACGAGAACGCGGGGGTGGGAATTGGTAATTTCACCACCACCGAAGCTCCGGTTTACCGCCCCACGAAGATGGAGGTGGAATTCAACAGTTTGACGTGGGAGGAGCGCTGGCAGAGGGTCTGGGAGAGCCTCGGGGGGTTCCTGGAGAGCCACGATGTGGATTTGGTGGTGCCTTATTACGAGTCTGCGATGGTGAGGGTGTCGTTGAGGGATTATATGAATAACGGGAGCGCCATCGATTTTAAGATTTATCCGGAGGGTAAAACTGCGGTGGACGGGGGCGATAAGGGGCCCAAGGAAGAGGTGGAGTCTTTGAAAAGATTGAGTAAGTATTCGATACGATCTCTGTTTGAATGTTTGATGTCTCGGAAATGCGGGGGTTTTTGGAAATTTTGGATTCTTTGAGAGTTGTAGGGAAATGGTTTTTCTGTAAAATGAAGCAAATTTCGATTATTTATATCGATTGATTTTAGAGATGATTGAAGTTGAAGTTTTAAAATGAAGGTTTAAAAATTTGAAATTAAAATTTAAAGAAAATCTTCCGTAAAAACAAACATTTTAAACGTATTTATCTATGAAATGCCTAGTAGGTAGCTAATTTATACTAATAATCAAAAAGTATAGTCGATTTTATATAAAAGGGCATTTTCTATCGAGATTTTTCTAAAATTGACGAAAATGTTGTATACTTTAGTTTTCAATTAGGCAAATTCTGGTTGCCTACCTACTAGTGTCGATAAATCGATAAATGTAATACTGGTTGCCTGTCATGTCCCCATGATAGATGGCGCCACGAATTTTATTATAAGTACACACGTTGTCTGCCGGAGCGATCAGTCCCTCTTTTGCCACGGTAGGGGTATGTTGCTCATTTTTAAATTCAAAAATTACGATAGTAAATCTTGAGAAACTCATATCATCTTCATGGTAGAATGGTGGAATATTTGATAATTTGCGCTCCCAAGCCTCCCCCACCGGTACCACCCTTTAGCTATACTTTCTTAAGTAACCTAACCATACGCTAATGTGCGCGATGTGTTGACAAAACGTTATGGCGCCATCTATTGCATTTTTATCGACAACTACGAAATTATAATAAAATCCCACATTACAATTTGAGATTTCGCATTCAAACACTACCAAATTTCGTAGAAATTTTCGATCGAGTTTTTTTAAGTTTATTTATATGGGGTAATCCTATACATGTTAAATAAAATATTTTGTTTTATTTTTCAGAAGACTTTATTTTCAATATTTTGAGTATAATATCGCAGATATCCGTGGTGATTTCGGCCTTTTTCGCATCGATTGTGCTGAGAGTGTTCTATTTGCCGACGTTTCTTCCTTTCTACGGTGTCATCAGAACCTTTAGAATTTTCTTTTTTGGATAATAATAAATAAAATTTGTTAATTTTAAGATAATCTGTAAATTTGTCCTTGTGTCGAATGTTTACAAAGCGCGTTAATTGGATGGATTTTTTTTAAATATACATCGAAAAATTTATCCAATTGATCGAAATTTCGCTCGATTATGGGACAAACATTAGATTTTGTAATTGAAATAATTGTTCAGAAAAATTCGAAATATATTCGTTACATGATAGAATTGAAAAGTGTCGTTTTTTATGCAATTCCCGATTAAAAATATTTTAATTTATTCAAACATTGTCACTGAAATGCGAACAAAAAATATTAATTATTTTACGCACAATTTAATTTCGAAATTTCGACCAACTTTCTTTATAATTGAATAATTTTTTCGCCGTTTCGAGAAATTTATTACACAATTATATAATTTTATACAGGGCGATTAAAATTGTATTAATTCGTTGCACTAATTAATGTATTATAATTCATCTTTTTTTAATTTCGAATTTTTGCTTAATTTCGAAACCAGGTCGTTTTTTATATCTCAATATTCATCTATAAAATATACAGGAAGTTTGCAATAATTATCCTAATATCTCTTTGCAATGTACGAGGTGTTTACAATAATTATCCCAATATTTCTCTTTATAATATAGAAGGTGTTTACAATAATTACACCAAAAATATTTCCCTATTAAATGTACAAAAATGTTACAATTATCCCAATATTTCTGTTTATAATGTACGAGGTATTTACAATAATTACACCAACAATTTCTCAATTAAATATACAAGTATTTTACAATAAGTATATCTAACAATTGCTCTCAATTAAAGATACAAGGCGCTTACAATAATTATCCAAATATTTAAGTATTAAGTATACGAGGTTTTTACAATAATTATTAGATATTCTATTGGGTATAATTAGAGCATCATCCTGTATTTGATGGAAACATTTCATTTCGGGTTTAACGCTCTCTAAACTTCCGCCATCTTGCAGAAATTCACTTTCATTTGTCCGCCCGTTTGAAAAATCTTTCTTTCCTTTCATTTTACGATACATTTATTTAATATTCAATATATTTTAATCCCTATGTGTATCGGAGAGAATGTTTCATTTCACACATTCGCTTATTTTATGCTGGTATAAATATGGACAGGCGGCTTAGAAAGTCCCATAAGCCTACTGGATTTAGTGCGGTGAACTTGATCAATTGTTTTTTTTGGTTTTTCGCTTGTTTTCGCAATATGGCCGTTCGGTTTTTGGTAAGTAGATTTACCTCATAAAATTTTTTAATCTTATTTTTACATTTATTTACGAAGTACGTTTAATGAATTTGAAACCTTTTAATTTTTTTTGTGAATATTTTAATTTAATTTTTGATGTTTTTTTTTCAGATTGCTTCAGTTGTTCTTTTAGCTCTAATTGAGATTTCCACAGCGGGTGGAGGTGGAGGGGGGTAAGTTAAAACTCAAAACGTCATTTGTCATATGTCAAAATTTTGTTTTCGGATTGAAAAATCATGAGGATTTAGTTTAAAAAAAATACAAGATCTTGAAAAATCTTGTAAATGTAAAAAAATGGTAAATCTATTTGAAAAATGGTAAAACAAAAAAAACATTTGTTCAAGCCCTATATAAATGTCGCGCACTCTAGATTAATTAATACATAATTCTTACATAAGAGTTTCAGTGAAATGTGAAAGTGCAATCATAATTAAATCATACAAGAAAAAAGATGATCATAAAATTAGATAAAAAATAATAAAATGCCGGTGAAATTCGCTTTCTCTTACAATTTATTCATTTCAATCTAATTATTTTTACACCTTTTAATTTTTTATTCCTGGTAAAACATAAAATGAAGTAAATGATTTTGCGTTAGATTTTTTTAGGAGTTATGTATTAGAAATATTTTTTTTAAACGAAATTTTTCAAAAAGTCATCAAAAACCCCATCATATAATCACCACAAGCCCACCGAAACCCCAAATTAAAAATTCATATAAATTAGTCCTTCACCATTTTGACTTTACAGCCACCAAAAAAAACATAAAAAAATGTAAAAAAATATGTAAAAAGCATCCAAAAATCCATCTTATAATCACCACAACCCCACCAAAAAACACATTTTTTTAAGTGTTAAAAAACTAATAACAAACTAGTCCTTCACCATTTAGATTTTTCAGCAGAAAAAAAAAACCATAAAAAACCTTTTAAAAATCCAACCAAAAACCCATCATATAATCACCACCACCCCACCAAAACCCCAATAAAAAACATCCACAAATAAAACACCAGCCCTCCACCATTTCGAATTTCCAGCCACCAAAAAAACCCATCAAACAAACCCTCAATAGTAGAAAACCAGACCTCCACCTATTCGTTTTTCCAGCCACAAGCGCGTCATCATCCACGTACCTGTCAAAGTGAAGCACATCCATCACACGCACACGGTCGTAAAACACGTAGGCCATGAAGAGCCCGCCGGCGACGAGTACAAGGTCATCGGCTACTCGGGCGGCATCGACGACGGCGAATTAGTATCTCACGGGCACGGCCACGGCGCCGGACTGGGCGCCGGATCCCACGGAGGCGGCGGCGGCGGCGGCGGCTGGGAGAGCGCCGACTTCGGCCACGCAGGTAGATAGTCGCATATATTTATGTACTATGTATATAGATAGCTAGGTTTGATATGCTAGGGTGATATGCTGGTTTATATGCTGGTATATGCGAGTAAAGCGTTGTAAATATTAGTAAAAATCTGTTATTGTTTCTTGTGTTGCGGTTTTTGGGGCGGCGGCGAGTTGGGCGCCGGCGTCTATTTGGGCGCCGCGTGTCAAAGGGTGGGCGTCAAGTTGGTATGTAGGTTTTTATTGCGAGAATCTCGGGGATAGTGTTAAATTTCGTACTTTTTTGGGGCGCCAAGTTTAATATTTAATCATATTGATGAAATTATTGATTAGTGATATGTTTAGTTGAAATAGATTGTTTTTTATGTATATAATAACTTTTCTTTAATAATAAAATTGTACATATATAAATTAATAAAATAACTCTTTTTTTCTTCTTCTACTTCTTTTCTACTTCTTCTACTACTACAGCTTCCTTAAAATATTAAAAAAAAATAACCAATTTTTGAACCAATTACTTACTTATTTTTCATAAAATAACCCACTTGATTATAAAAAAAAACTTTCCTAAAACTCTACTAGATATTTTGAAAAAAAAAATTATTTCAAAACCACCAAAATTCTCACAAAAAAAACCCAAAAAAAATTCCAGGCGACTCCTCGTCATCGCACGGCGCCCAACTGGACGCCGGCTCGATCACGCTGGGCGGCGGTCACGGATACGGACTGGAAGCGGCCCAAGGAGGCGGTCACGATTTCTCCCAAGGGGGCGGTCACGATTTCTCGCAAGGAGGCGGTCACGATTTCTCTCAAGGAGGCGGTCACGATTTCTCCCAAGGAGGCGGTCACGATTTCTCGCAGGGAGGCGGTCATGACTTCTCGCAAGGTCACCAAAGCGCCGAAGGAGGCGCTGGACTGGGCGCGTACGGAGGCGGGGAATCGTTCGATCACAATTCCATATCTCACGGGGAAGGAGGCGGCGCCGGTGGCGGCCACGATTGGGCGGCGGCGGCGCAAGGGGGCGATGGGGGCCACGGGGGCTACTAGGCGTTCCTTTTTTTGTAGCGTTTAGAGATTTGTAAATACCAAAACTAGTCGTGTTGTTGTTGTTGTTGTTTGTTGTTGCTTAGTTGTAAGATTTGTTTTTTCTTTATTAATAAATTTTTTATAAAAATTTTGAGTTTTTTTTTTGAGAAATTTCCAATAAATCGACATTTATATTTACCATGAAAAATTACTTCTTAGTAATGACAAGGCAAAAATAAATACACTCAGTTTATCGAAAGAATGACCTCAAGAGAGCAAACTAGATAAATTTATGATAATTATTATCAATATTTTTCGAAACAATACAACAGTAATAATTGAAAATCGAACATCGAATTAACAATTGTAAAAGTATTTCTTGAAAAAGTGATATTATTTTAATTTATAACTAATCGAGTAAGTAAAAATCATTTCAAATCATTACGCCATCGAAAAGTTTTGCTGAAACAACTATTAAAAATCATGGAATTACCCTATCATATTCTTAAATAATAATTACAAAAATCATTAAAAACCCACCCGAAATCATCAAATGAAATTATTAAAAAAATTCCTATTAGAAATGCTAGCCAAAGGGAGAGTGTTGAATTTTTTGAAAATCCCGCCGGCCGCCATTTTGGAAAACTCCAACCACAGCAGGCGATTAAGCACCGAAGACGTGTTGGAAAGAGAAAGAAAATACGCCGCCCACAATTATCATCCCTTACCCGTTGCATTGTCCAAAGGAGAGGGTAAGTTCCCAGAAATATTAATTAGAAATATAATCAAAAATTCAAACATTTCTCTCTCCCTTTTTCGCGCATAAAGGAGTCTTCCTGTGGGACGTAGAAGGAAAGCGATACTTCGACTATCTAAGCGGCTATTCAGCCAACAACTTCGGTCACTGTCATCCCAGCATAGTAAAGGCCATTCAACAGCAGAGCGCCATTTTGCATCACACGTCCAGGGCCTTCTTCTCGGACGTTTTGGGCGAGTACGCCCGAATCGTTACCCGATTGTTCGGCTACGATAAGCTATTGCCCATGAATACGGGTGAGTAAAAATCACAAAAAACCCACAAAATATACAGGGTGTCTCATAAATTGATATGGAGAGCAGGTTTTTTTCAATTTTTAATTATTAAAAGTTAAAGGAACTGCCCAAAATTGTCGCCATTTTGATTGGAAACGCTTTGAAAATACTCTCCATAAATAATCAGCATGTCCACCAATTTATTACTTGTATAAAGATGAGCCATTTTCAATTCAACAATCGAAAAATTAATTTTTTGTCATTAATTTTTTTTTGACACCTGTATGGTATTGGTAGGAATATAGATTGAAAAATATTCGAAATTTAAAGAAATTTTAAAAATATCCATCTTTTTTATTTTCCAAAATATTAAAAAAAATTACTTGAAAAAAGTATCAACTTATGAGACACCCTGTATAATTGTTTTGAAAAAATTCCAGGAGTGGAAGCGGACGAAACGGCCTGCAAACTCGCCCGCAAATGGGGCTACCGCAAGAAGAACATACCCAAAAACCAAGCGGTCATCCTGTTCGCCCAAGAAAACTTTTGGGGACGGTCCCTCGCCGCCGTTTCCGCCTCCACCGACCCCACCAGCTACGAGGACTACGGACCTTTCATGCCCGGCTTCAAAATCATCCCCTACGATGACTTGAACGCCCTAGAGGTAACCCAACAAAACGCCATTTTTATCACAACTGTCAATTGTCATAACTGTCACCTGTCATAAACGTTAATGGGCGAATTCTAGGAGGCGCTAAAGGACCCGAACGTGTGCGCCTACATGGTGGAGCCCATCCAGGGGGAGGCGGGCATTAGGGTGCCCAAACCTGGATACCTAAAGGGGGTGAGGGCGTTGTGCGACAAATACAACGTCCTCTGGATAGCCGACGAGATCCAGACGGGCCTGGGCAGGACGGGCAGGCGTTTGGCCGTCGACTACGAAAACGCCCGACCGGACGTTTTGGTGCTGGGCAAGGCCCTAGGGGGCGGCGTCTACCCCGTCAGCGCCTGCTTGGCTGACGACGATGTTATGCTAGTCATGGAACCCGGTAGGTTACAGAGCCCCTAAATTACGCCCGCACTCATATTTAACGACGCCCCTAAAGTACGCCCTCATCCCTATTTAACTGCGCCCCTAAATTACGCCTCGGTATCCCCTAAATTACGCCCGTACTCCTATTTAACATCCCGTCTCTTGAAAGTGTATTTAACGATTATTTTGCACTAAAAAGGAGCCCCTAAATTAGGCCCGTATCTTCAAAATTATGCCTATGACCCCTATATTACGCCCATACTCCTATTTACCATCCCGTCTTTTGAGCGTGTTTTTAACAATTACTTTGCACTAAAAAGGCAACCCCTAAATTACGCCCGTATCTCCTAAATTATGCCTATGACCCCTATATATTACGCCCATACTCCTACTTAACATCCCGTCATTTGAGCGTGTTTTTTAACGATTACTTTGCACTAAAAAGACGCCCCTAAATTACGTCCTGACCCCTAACTTTCCCCCGCTTCCTACGATTATATCTAACGAATTTTCGCCCCCACCCTAGGGACGCACGGTTCGACGTTCGGCGGCAACCCGTTGGGTTCCAAGGTGGCCATGGAAGCGCTGCGCGTCCTCGAAGAGGAAAAGCTGGCGGAAAACGCCTTCGAAATGGGCGAAATTTTCCGCGACCAGTTGACGCGCGACCTCGACAAGAACGTGGTGACCCAGGTCAGGGGCAAGGGCCTGCTCAACGCCATCGTCATCAACAGAAGTAAGTCATCCGAGGCAGCGTTGCCGAAGTTATTAGTACCGATATTCGGTGGATTTAGGGATTTTTTCGCAAAATACAGCGATGACAAGAGTAGGACAGTTTCAGTAGATTTAGGGATTTTTTTCGTAAAATACATAGTTGCCAAGAATAGGACAATTTCAGAAGATTTACGATTTTTTCGCAAAATACAACGTTGCCAAGTTTTGTACAATTTCAGTAGATTTAGGATTTTTTCACAAAATACGGCGTTGCCAAATTTCGTACAATTTCGGTAGATTTGGGTATTTTTTTTTCAGACGTTGCCGATGCTTGGGACGTGTGTTTGAAATTGAAGGAGCACGGAGTTTTGGCCAAGCACACGCACGAGGACATCATCAGGTTCGCGCCCCCGCTGGTCATAAATAAGGGACAATTGGAGGAATCGGTTGATGTCATAAAGAAAGTCGTCAACAGTATGGGGAAATAAATGCGCGTTTTATAAGTTTATGTTTTTTTTTTCATATAAATTATGTCAGGTTGTGAAACGTTGGTATATTTTTCTGATAAAAAAATCGATTCTTTGATGAGATAATATTGTATGTATCATTTCATGGAATATGTAAAAGAGACGAATTAATTTCAAAATAATAAGGATCGTTTTATTTCGATATATTATAAACATTTATTCATGTAAAAAACACTCCTAATTTCGTATTGTAATAATATAAAAAGTCCCTTGGTTAAGCCATATCATTTTAAATCAATCACATTCGTTAATGTTAAGAAAATATCATCAAAAGTTACTTTCGAAAAACTTCGATAATACGAAAAAAAAAACACTAAAATGATTATTTATTATAATAAATGCAAATATGCTCGAAAACATAAAGAAAATTGAAAAAATAAATAATTAGTAAACTTTTTATAAACCTAAAAATTACGAAAAAAAAAATACTAGGCGTAAAATACTCAAATCGGTTAGTTTTTGAGAGAAAAAAAAAAGAAATAACAAATTGAATAATCGATTAATTATCAAATAAATAAATTAGAAGGGAGTAATCGTCCATAATTTGGTGTTGCAGTCTTGGCCTACTGAGACTAGAGTTGTATTGTCTACCCAAGATAATCTTGTCACTTGGCTTTGAGCATGCGCATCTTGAAAATACGAGCAAAATAAAAATCGAAAATTCCCAAAAAAAAAACAAAAATAAAATACCACCTAGGGCGAGTATACCAGTGTCAAACCATTTAAGAGACTCATTTACCACAGAATCAAGTAACTAATACAAACTTATACATTTTTCAAAAATTAATATTTTCACAGAAATGGACTAAAATATTATATAAACAGGGCGTCCCGTGACTCGATAGATTTAATCACGGGACACCCTGTATAATCAAAGTACCTCGATAATTATCCAATGAATGTAGCTAGGAACTACTACTACCGGTATACTCTTCCTATAAATCATCATCATTTTAAATTCGTACTCACTTTTGATGATGATGTGCTTGGCCGGTTTGTCCACCTGCCAAATGATGATGCTCGTATCGAGGCTACCGCTCGCCACTAATTGGGAATCCGGCGACCAAGCCACGCAATTCACTTTGGCATTGTGGAAACCCCATTCCTTGTTATTGGCCAACTACAAAAAAAAAAAATAAACACTAAAATAACAAAAATTCCAAAAGATGAATGATCTGTGATGCATGACTTCGACTCCCACTCTCTCTCTCTCTTTCTCATGTCTCAATTACTCATTCTCATTTCGCATTTTCTCTCTCTCCCTTTCATCCTTATCTCCCACTCTCTCCTCTCTTTTTTATCTCTCAACCTCGTCTCTTTCTCATCTTGCACTTTCTCTCTCTATCTCTCTCTCTCTCTCTTCTCACGCTCTCTCATCCTCTCCTCTCTTTCTCCTCCTTTTCCCAACTCTAAATTTTCCCTTTCTTTCTGCTCCCACTTTTTCCTCTCTAAACCTCTCCTCTCTTTTTAATCTCGCACTTTCTGCTTCCTTTCTCATCTCTCAACCTCTCCTCCCTTTCTGAATATCCCCTTACTTTCTCATCTCTCTCTCCCGCACTCTTTTCAAAAGCGCCTAAAGAACTTTTTAATTAAAAAAATCTATCTATTTATACCTTATACTCTTCGGTTTCGTACAAAACGACCTTCCTGTGGGCGTCGCAGGCCACTAGATATTTATCGTCAGGGGAATAGGCCACGTCGGTGACGGGACCCAAATGTTGCAATTCGTGCAATTGCCGCAAATCGCCGTCCCCTTCGAATTCGTACACGTGCAATTTGCTATCCACGTTACCGCCTACGGCCACTTGACCTGAAAAAACCATTTTACGATTTTTTTTCAATATAATAAAGATTTATAAAACAACGGCGGTTAGAGTGGTTATCGCTCTTTCTTTTTCCTTCCTAAACGAGACGAATAGAAGTTGTTGTTGTTGTTTGTTGCACTCGTACAACACCGTATAAAAAGAGAAATACACCGTGCTTCAATCGCGATTGCAACATGGTCGTTTCTATGAGTTGAACAAAGATATTAAAATAACTGTTGTCACTTGTCAGAATGAAAAGTGTCTAATTGAAGTTGTCTTTGTTGCACCCATGGCCTATGTTGCAATGAACAATGGAGCAATATGTATAAATAAAAATGCATCAATTTACCTTTGGAAGAACAACTGACGCTAGTTGGTTCGTAATCGATTTTCAACGATGACACTTTCACGTTATCTTTCGATACTGTTATTTCGTTGACGCTCGCCGATACGATGAGATTTCGCTCTTTGCAAATGTCCATTCCTCTCGGTTGAGAGCCCAATTTCAAATTCGCCGGTTTGTACGTTTTACCTGCGCGTAAAAATCGTATTTATTAGTTACTTTTACATTTACACAAGTACCCCACAAGTAATATTTTCATTATTGAGAATTATGATTTACAATAAATGCTAAACTCTAATCTACTCTGAATCTCTACTGAATCTAATCTCCTGAATATATTCCTACTCTACTCTAAGTCTATTCTACTCCAAGTATTCTTCCATTCTTTGAATCTACTCTCAATCTATTCTACTCTACTATTCTCTGAATTTACTCTATTCTTCTCTGAATCTACACAACTCTTCTATTCTCTGAATTTACTCCATTCTACTGTACTCTTCTCTCAATCTACACAACTTATCTCTTCACTGAATCCACTCTACTCTCCTAGATCTATTCTACTCTACTCTACACTGAATCTACACAACTCATCTCTTCATTGAACCTACTATATTCCTCTCTCAATCGAGTCTACTCTATTCTCCTCTGAATCTACACAACTCTTCTATTCTCTGAATTTACTTCATTCTACTATACTCTTCTCTGAACCTTCGCAACTCATCTCATCACTGAATCTATTCTACTCTATTCTTCTCTGAATCTACTCTCCTCTCTTCTCCTCTACCCTCCTATTCCTCGACTCTACCACCCTCTCCTCACCGACACATTTTCAAGCCCCATCTCCGCCGCTCTCACCTTCGATATCGATCTGCCTCAAGCTGTCGTCGATGCCGCACGTGTACAACGTCCCGTCGAACGCCCTCATCCCGTTCACCTGATTCCCGTGCCCCAGGCCTTCTACGCGATCGTTCGCTCCCGTTTCGGCCTCCCACGTCGTCACGTTGCCGTCGTGCGAGGCCGTGAATATCGACGATCTGTCCTCGCTCAACGTCAACGCCGTGATCGGTTTGTTGTGGCCTTTGATCACCCTTATGGGCTTCGACGGATCGTCGACGTTCAAGTAGTTTATGAAGCCGCTCAGCGAGACGGTGAGAAGATGGTCGCCTTGCCATAGACAGGACACCTAGAATAGATAAATGAGAATATAATGGGTGAAGGTTAAGAGTGAAGGTCAAGGATGAAAGTAAAAGTAAAGGGTGAAAGTAAAGAGTGAAGGTAAATGGTAAAGGATGGAGGTAAAGGGCGAAGGTAAAGGATGAAAGTAAAGGGTGAAGGTAAAGAGTGAAGGTAAAGGGTGAAGGTAGAGGGCGAAGGTAAAGGATGAAAGTAAAGGGTGAAGGTAAAGAGTGAAGGTAAAGGGTGAAGGTAAAGTACCTGTTGATCTTCTACGGTGTTTCCCAACACGAATTCCGATACGATTTGTCGGGTTTCGACGTCCCACAATTTCGCTGTCTTATCACCGCTTGCCGATAACAATTGTTTACCGTCGGGGCTCCACGATAGGGCGTAAACGCCGCCCGAATGGGCAGGGCTGCCCACTTCGCCCACCAATTCCGAAGACGTACCTGATAACACCAAAAAAAAAACTACATAAAAAAATAGACTAAAACAACGCCACAACTTACCATCGTAAATGTATATTTTCCCATCGAAACCGGCCGAAGCGAACAACTCCCCTTTGGGGGAATACCGCACCGCCTGTACGAACCTCGAGTGATCCTAAAAAAAAAAAAAGATCTCGCCTTTAACGCGCCCGTACAGCAGCCACCCAATCTCTACGAACCTGTTTGGTGAGTTTGAACTTGAACGGCGGCCCTTCGAACACGCCGATGGTGTTGTCCTCGGAGCCGGTGATCACCCTGAAGGGTCGGCTAGGGCGGAAATCGCACGAATTGATCGGCTTCGATTGGCCCGATATCTCGCCCACGGAGGTGCCCGTTTCGGACATGAACACGTGCCCGAAGCGCTCCCGCCCCTCGCCCACCACCACCATTCGTTGGTTGTCCGGCGACCAGGCGATGTCCTTGATGGGGCCGCCGATCGGATGGAACTCGTTCTTCAGGATGTGCTCCTTGTTGACGGTGTCCCAGATGCGCACCTTGCCCGATTGATCTGCCAACAAAACCGATTTATACCGTTGTAGAAGTCTTCGATCGTGGGGTAATTACCTCCAGAGGCTATGTAGAAGCCGCTCGGCGAGTATTTGGCAACGTTGACTTGGCAAGAATGCTCCGTATAAACGTCCGATATCGATGGATTCTGCGAATAAAACATAACACATGACTCTTAATTTACTCGTAACTTCCTTAATAATCGTACGATCGACGCGATTTTTGCACCGAAACGAAGCTGACGGATTCCACCACTCGCTAACGACGTTCAATTTACCTCGATGTTCCTGATTATGACGGAGTTGCCGTTGGTGTAGAGGAAGTTCTTGCCCTTGGGGTCGCCGCCCAAAACCAGCGGTTGGCCGCGCTGCGTCCTCGGCAGGGCCGCGTAAATGCTCTCTGAAAACAGGGGGAGGTTCAGGGCGGTGGTTCGACGGAAAATCGGCCGGGAAATCCGCCGGGCGGCCGGCGGAAAACCGATCGAAAAGCGAGGTTGGAGCGGTCGGGATGCGCTTCGGGCGGTACTTACTGGGTGAAAACGACATTTTTCCGGCGTAATCGGCCTGGTTTGCGCTCGAATTGTTCCTCTGGTGGCTTCTAGGGGTTTTCTTCTATCTGAAATGTCGATAAAACGATAAGAAGTCGCGGTTTTCCGTATAAGGAAACGTATATTGGATAAAAGTTTAATGACGTATTACGTGACATTGTTGACGTTTAATTGACATGACAGTTGATTGACTAAATGCAGAAATGGAATCCACGGTGTTGCCATTTTGTAACTACTGACTACTAATTATGCAACCACTATTACAATGGAACTTTTATATTATTGTATTTATAAATTATTACATTAAAACATAATATCGAATCCTAATAAGTATATACTAATCTACTTAATATTAATATTATTGCATTTTGATGAATTATTGCGATATAAAATATGGAATTGGTATTAATTTAAGTGAAACAGATGGCTCAAGGATAAAAATTCACAAGTTTCTTGGCCGATTTCTCTCGGTCGAAGAGACGAAAATAAATTTCCTGCTAAATTTGTCGTTCTAAATTTAAAATAGATCGGGATAAGCGATAAATTTACGCGTTGTCTGTCGTAATAGTGGAACAATCGATGACCTTTATAGTCTAAACAACGTCTAATGTACGATTGAAAAGGATATATCAAAAAAATTGGAAAATTTGGGAAAATTTTGTAAATAGGAAAGTTTTGGGTTAAAGTTTTCTCTATAAAATGGTATAAAATTGAAGTTTCTAGGATGAGTAGTTTAGGAGTTAATGGTAAAAAATATTCAGAATATGAAGACTTCTGGAAAAGCATCCGAAAAATATAAAATATCATGAAGACTGGAAAAGTTAGGAAAATGATGTAAATGGACTGTTTGAGAGCAAAGTTTTTTCTATAAAATAGTGCAAACTTCATGTCTCTAGGAATAATAGTTTCTGAGTTATAACTCAAAATATACCAGCTAATTTTCATCAATCGAATTTCGAAAATATACACATATAAAAAAAATTGTCTCGAAACGATTCAAAGTCAAAAATTCTATAAATAATTCTTTTCCTATAATAAATCAAACAATAAAATGACGCAAGTAAATTCAATAAAAACCGAAATTCATGCCAGAAAATACAAAGTATGTTCAAGATTTATCACAAACATTATATAAGGTGGTGAAAAAATTACAATTGCAAAAGAATTAAATGCTCTATTTCATGCATAATCATTTAAATACCAAAATAACTTTAAAATTAAGGGACTTTTCATTTAAAATGATCCACATCTCTAACAGACAAAGAAATAAGGACACTGTACGCATTTATTTATAATTCATCGGTAAGCACTTGTAATTTCGACGATTTTTACTAGTAATTCGTCTAAAAATAGGAAAACGAGGAAATTTGATTATCGTAAAAAGTTCGACGAACCGATTTCGCCAGTTAAATGTTCGAAAATAATCTAATTGCCCGTGTAATGAAGCAAGTACAGTGAACTTGGCAGGAAAATAACAAATTACAACGTGCCACGTTTTCGTCTCTAACTCAAAAACTACTCATTTTAGAGCACTCATTTTTGTCTCAAATTGTAGAGGAATCTTTGCTTTGCAACTTTCGTATTTACAATAATTTTCTAATCCCTTCGGTTTTCACGCTATTTGAATTTTTCCGGGGCGCTTCAGGTGTACGAAACAACGATTCGATATGACTATTTATCCTGGATATATCCTGGACTATAGAAGATAGAAAATTTGTGTAAACAGAAAAGTTGCAGATGAAAGTTTTCTCTATCACTTGACATTCAAGCGAATTCTCTACATATAGTAGTTTTTGAATTATTAAAGAAAATGAACACTCCTGCAATAAGTTACTCCCTCCATCTTTTTAAGTTCATTGTAATGTAGGATAAACCGAGTGTTTTTTTTTGTTTTTTTTTTATTTATCCTCTACTTTTTGGCATTTCGCCACACATCTAGTTACCCATGAGATTTTAAACGGGCAACGTCCGCATGAACTCAGATTAATCCCAGAACTCCCTGAGAGAGGGAAAGTGGATTTCCAGTTTTCCATTAGTTTTTCGGGTGTTCTCCCCGAATTTTGTTCCTGCATTTTTTCGGGGAGTTTCCGTGAGTGTTTTGGGAGTTTTCCGGGAGGTGTGAGAAAAGCGCGAATTTTCGCTTTTCACCGGCATGACGGAAAGTAGTGACAGGTGAGCGAATTTATTCGACTAGATTTCTGAAGAAGCCTCGTGGAAAAATGGAAATATCGCGGAAACCCTAGGAGATAGGAAAATTGTGTAAATAGGAGAGTTGAAGAGGGAGGGTTTCTCTGTAAAATAGTGCATAATTGAGGTTTCTAGGATTAATAGTTTAAGAGTTAATAATAAAAATGTAATAGTATACACTATTTCTTAGATTTCTGGAGAGGCTTATAAATAATTAAAATATTATGAAAACTAATAAAGTTTGAAAAATTGTGAAAATAGAAAAGTTAGAGGGTAATATTGTATGTACAATCTGCTACAAATTTAAAGTTTCTATGATGAATAATTTAGGAGATATTGAGGAAAATATAGGCACTATCATATTAAATGCAACGTGCAATATAAAACTAGGTTACTTGTCTAAAAAAAACGTGAAATATAATATTTCTACATTGACCTTCACAGCATAAAATTATTTTAGAAAATAAAACAGATCATAAACACGCCAATAATTTCCCTCAAGTAATAAATTCGAATGAAAAAATAATACAAAGCAGCTGTTCCGTTTAAATAAATTACGAGTATTTTACTAACAAAAAAAGTGTAAATATCTCGTAAATTTTGTAAAATATCGAAATTTTGTAAATGAGAATGTTTGAGAATGAAGTTTTTACTATAAAACGGTGTAAATTAGAAGTTTCTATGATGAGTAGTTTGGGAGTTGTTGAGGAAATTGTATTAGAATAAGTCGCTAATTAGATCCGGAGAATCACGAATAAAAATGAAAATACTGTAAAAACTAGAAATGTTAGGTGAGTTATATGAATAGGAAAGTTGTAGAATGAAGTTACCTTTTTAAAATAGTCCAAACTGGAAGTTCCTAGCACTAGTAGTTTAGCAGTTACGAGGGATAATGGAATTAGTCAATTATTTTTTAAAATTTCTCTCGATTAATCGCAAAATCGATCGATTAAATCTCCTTATATTTTTATCGACACTTTCCGTTTTCACCGGTTGAATTTCCATTCCGAACAAACGACTCTCGCTTCTTTTCGCCTAATACAGAAAAATGAAATTTCTCCGATTTTCACTTTTTTCCGTCAGTTGGCGGCGAAATTTCGATGGAAATCGTACTGTTTTCTACGTATGGACGTGTTAAATATATTCAGGTACATTTTTACATCTCTATTTTTTAATATTAAACTAGTGATCATAGAAATTCCAAATTTGCCACAGTTTGTAGACAAAATATTCTTCTAAAATCTAATAAACTTTTCGAGATATTTCGAATTTTCCCAAATCTGTTTTTCACAAACCAGCGCCATCTGTCGATTTTTTTGCTTCGGTTTTTTTGAAAATCGCGCAGTGTTCTCCAATTGTTTCTCGGCCATTTTTAGCCGATCTTTCGAGTTTCTTCGGCAAAAATCGCCCGGAAAATCGCCCAGATTTTCCTTTCTCTCTCTGGCTAATTTTAAGCACTCAGTTTTCGACGTTTTGGAAACTTTTCACAGTGGCATAATTATTTGTTGAGTAAGTTTTCGTTAAATTTTAATAATAATTAACTCTAATTTACTCCAAAAACTCACAAAACTAATCACCCTGGAAACTCGTAAACAGGCACAAATTGTAGAGGAAACTTTACTCTTTAAATTAAGTAGTTAAGAAAATTTTCCTATGACTCATACTTTTCCAGAAATTTAGTTATTTATAATGTTTAACTTCAAATTATAAAAAATTGCAATTAACTTAATTTTTCACTTATAACTCCGAAAATACTTATATTAGAAACTTCATATTAAGCTCAAATTGTAGAAAAAACTTTACTTTTCAAATTATCAAGTTACAAAAATTTTCCTATGACTCACAGTTTCCAATAATGTCCATTTAATCGTGGAAATCACATAAGTAAATTTAATTATTTATTAACATTACACTGCAATTAATTTATATTATTTAATAAATCCGCATGTAATTTAATCGATTGTCTATCGAAATTCTCCCATTTAACCCAGTAATTTTGGATATTTTCGAGCTCATTCCAGGTTTATTTTTAGAGATATGTAATTTTCAAAAATATCCGATGCATCAGAAATAGCGTTGAAATTTATCGAGGTTTTTGCGAGTATTTAGATGAAAATCTGTTAATTTTTTCGCCTCCATTTTATAGATGAATTCACGCACTTTCGCAGGATTTTTAAAAATTTTTCCTAAATTTCCCAGTTTTTGAGATATTTCGATTTTTACCGAAAGTTACACGAAAATGAATATATTTTTATGAAGTAATACGTTATAAATTCTCTTATAACTCCATAATAAGTTGTGATAAAAATCTGTATGAAGGTTCATATTGTAGAGAAAAGTTTGCTCTATAACTTTAAAAGTTACGAAAATTCTCCTAAACTTGAACATTTTCGAGATATTGCGATTATAAACGGGAGCCACTTCTAAAACAAATTTGCGTCAATATTCTTCTTACAACTCAAAAACTTGTTACCACAGAAAATTGAGTACCTACAACTCATTTTTTTGGAATTGGAGTTTTCCATAGCACTTGAAACATTTTTCAAAATAGTTTTCGAATTATTGTTTTTCAAAAATATTACCCGAAAAAATCACCTATATATTTTAATTGCCTTCTTGTACCCAAAACAACTCAATAACTCGCCTAAAAAAACTTCAAAAAAGGCTAAAAATTTTCAAAAATCCTCTCTAACACTTCCACATTTCCAGGCAACTATCCCACATCGTCGGTACAGGCCAGAGATTCGGCACTTCTCCACAGCCTCCTATCACTATTGGACACATTCCATCTGTGAAAATCAAAAACCAAGTAAGCCATGCATTTATTTCTTCATTTATTGATTTATTTATTTATTTATTTATTTATTTACTTATTTTTTTATTTATATTAGAAAATGGAGCCGCCCGCTTGCGTCCAGAACGCCATGATGACCAAAGACAAGAAACCCTTCACCTACACCCCCGGGGGCGTAGACTTCTCGGAAGCCCGCTCCCCCCGCCTCCAGCGGCGCATCGAAAGAAACGCCCAATTGGGCGGCGCCGCCCAAAACGCCCCACCACCACCACCTCGCCCATCAGGCGACGCCGCCTCCGCAGCGCCGCCTCCATCGTGCCGCCCCCTTATGCAAGTGCAGGTTCTACCTTCGGTACCGCCGCCGCCCAGAGGAGGAGCTCCTCCGCCGCCGCCTCCGCCGCCTTCCGCGGGCAAAAAGGTAGGCGGGGCCGCCGCCGCCGCCTCTACCCGTGCAGAAAGTGAGCGCGGGCGGCGGCGGGGCGGTGGTTGAGAGGCCCGACATGACGAAGATCATACCGGAGAACCCGATGGCGTTGTTGAGGAAGACCGGGGGACCGGCCCCGAGGAAGAGCTTGGTGGATAAGCTGTTCGAGGAGGGCGGAAGGGGCGGGGAAGAGGCGGCGCCGATCTCTCCTGTACCACAACCGAAACCACAACCCCAAATACAACCACAACAACAACAACAACAATACCCATCAGTTGAACCACCCAAATATCAATCGTTTCACCATAGACCGGAAATGGCGCCCAAAGCGAACGCCGCCCCATTGGGCACTTCTCGGTAAGTATCACTAATATCCCTCCATTTATTGGATCACTAATTTCTTCTAATTCTTCTAATTTTCCAGCCCCGACAACCTGGCCAGCCTCTACATCCCCCCGCCGTCTCCCCCCCACAACGACGACCACACCAAACAAAAGAAAATCGCCTCGCCGCCCACTCCCCCCGAAAGGCACTTCGAATCCTCGGGCTCCCTCCAAACGCCCCCGCTCAGAGAATGCCCCAAGCCATGGCAAATCAAGAAGGCCTGGAACCAGGAAGAGCTACCCGCATGGGCCAAAAGAGACCAATCGCCCCAATCCCCCCCATCACCGCCACAACAAAAACCTCAACCTCAACCCCAATACGAACCTCAACCTCATCCAAAGCCGCAGTATCAACCGCAACCTCATCAAACACCCCAGTACCAACCACAACCTCATCAAAAGCCCCAATATCAATCACAACCTCAATACGAGCCCCAGTATCAACCCCAATACCAACCGCAAACGCCTCCATCTCAACCCCAGCCCCATCAAAAGGTGCAATATCAACCGCAGCCTCAATACAAACCTCAGGCTCAGGCTCAACCGCAACGGCAGCCTATTGGCGTGCGAATAGAGATTCGTACGAAGCCTCAGGAGTACCAGGAGCCTCATCAACCTCAGAAGCCTCAGCAATACGGAGGGGAGAACGGGGACGAGGCGAAGCCTAACGTGGTTTACGTGACGCAGCCGCTGGTGCTGCAGCACCCGGGGGGCGTAGCCCCCGGAAGGGGCTCGGGGAACGGGCCGGTGCAAGTTGTGGAGAGGTGAGATGTTTGTTTTGGTGTGGAAATTGGGGGAATTGAGTGATGGTTTTTTTTGTAGGGAATTTGGGAATCCCGCTCAATCGAATTCGTTCAAAATCATCCAGAGAATCGTCTCGGAACCGGATGAGAGTTTGAATGGAAATTCCGCGAAAAATTCGCAAAAGGGACCGGTAATTAGGACGATTCCCATTCAAATTGAAGGTGAGTGATGGGATTTTTTTTGAAATTTGACATTTTTGATTTATGAAATTCTCCAAAATTTTTCAAATTTTGTTTTGAAATTGTTCTGTCTGAAGGTGAAAGCAACAGAGGAAGAAATTCGACGCCGACTAGATCATTCAAAGTTTTAAATGCTCCAAATAATTATGGTGAGTGATCATTTTTTTAATCAATTGAGATTTTGCTCTATTTTTTATTACTTTGTTACATTGTTACATTTTTAAAATTGCATTTCAAAAAAAAATATTTTTCCAAATTCCTATAGGCGAATTCGAATTATTAGCTCCAAATTTTGAGCCTCTAAAGTCTGACAGTTTTAATATCAATACTTTATATTTTGAGCCTTTAAGTTATTGCAGTCTTAATTTTACTACTTTTAAATTGTGAGCCTCCAAATTTTGAGCCTCCAAATTTTTTACCATCAGAATTTCAATATTTAATATTTTGAGCTTCTAATTTAAATTCGTCGATTTTACGAGCCTCAAGTCTTTGAGCCTCTAAATTCCGAAACCCTAAATTCTCAAACTTTTTTTATAGCCACTGTCGAAGACGACCGAAACGAAGACCCCCTTGGCGGGGACGCCCCTGTTCAACCCCCTATCTATCCCCAACACCTACCCCCTCATCCTCTAAACCCCCCTCTACCCCCTTACTACCCCTATCCGTATTGGTACGATTATTACCATTATTATTACCCACCCGAAGGTGCCGCAGGTATTAAATCCCCACCTCCCGCTCAAAAAGTCTCTAAAAATGACTCTAAAAATCGCCCACAGGGGCTACATTCTCACAGCTCTAATATTAACGGTTCAAATGTTGATGATAACGACTCTATTAACGCTCGTTACGCCAAAAAATGCTCCAAAAACAGTACGCATGAGTTATATTCACATGGCTCTATTTTTAGCGGCTCTAACGATGAAAATGGCTCTATTTCGGACGATTACTCAATGTATTACGACCCTTACTATTATCATTATTACTATGGCTATCATCACGATCATCCCGGTTACGGTCAGTTCTATCCCTACTCTATGCCTTTCTCTAATAATTTTGAGCAAGAAGAAGAAGAAACCGTCGTAGAAAACGGCTCGAAAACTCAATTAAAATCAATTAAACCGCTCAAAAACCTCGACCATTACATCAGGGATGAAACAGATGATGATGATGATGAAGATGATGAAGAAGACGATGAACATGAAGAAAATTCCTCTCAAAACAGCTCAAAAACCGCCTTAAAATCCATGAAATCCTTAACGAATATCGATCAGTACATCAAAGAAGGCGCAGAAAACATCGAAGATGAAGATGACGAAGACGATGAGGATGAAGAAACGAGCGAAGAAGACGCCTGTCCCCACCAATTGAGCGTCATAATGGAAGAAAGCGAGTCGAAATCCAGAGAAACTAGAGCTTTGAGCGACTCCGATACACTCACAGGTAACAGTGATGATGAAGAAGATGAAGAAACGACGAGAGAATTTGAAGAAATCGATGAATTTTGCGAAGAGAGGCCAGAAGAATGCGAAAAAATCGAAGATAACGTTAGAACATTTAAGGAAGAAAGCGATGAAATTGAAGAAATTTGTGAAAAAGTAAGCGAAGAAATCGAAGTAACCCGCGATGAAACGGCAGAAGAAAGCCTAGAAACCTGTAAAAAAAGCGGAAAAGAATCAGAAAAAATCGAAGAAAAGCGCGAAGAGGACGAGAAAAGGGGCAATGGTGAGGACGACGAAGAAGAAGAAGAAGAAGAAGATTGGTGGGAGATTTTGGGTAAAAAGGAAGATGATATTCCTCCTAAGAAAATGACAAATTCCGGAATTATTGTAGAAGAAGATAGAGATGAGAAGGATGATGAAGAAGATATCAGAGAAAATGTAGAAGTTATAGAAGATAATGATCAAAATCAAGGAGGTATTGAAGCAGTCGATGAAAGTGATGGTCAAAAAGAAGAAAGTGACGATCAAAAAGATGAAAGTGATGAACAAAAAGAAGAAAGTGACGATCAAAAAGATGAAAGTGATGATCAGAGAGATGGGAAAACAGACGATAATAGAGCAGTTAAAGATAAAGAAAATGGTGATGATGGTGATGAAACTTATGAATACACGGTGGTGGTGCGGAGGAAAAAGAGGGAAAGTTCCCTTGAAGTGGAAACGAAACCAAGACCGAAGAGTGTCTACGAAGAAATGGAAAAACTCGGAAAATCTGGAAAATCCGGAAAATTCGGCTCGACCGGAAATTTGATCGAAATCGATGATTTCGTCGGGATTTTAGAGCGAATTCGTAACGATTTCGGTGGATTTTTGGTATGCAGGAAACGAAATCATGATCAAGATCAATCCCAACATGATCATGGTCAAAAATCAATTAAAAATCTAAATCCTCACCAAAATCACGATCAAAACGGTGATATTGACCAAGAACCGATTAAAAATCGAATTCAACACGAAAATCATGATCAAAATCATCACCAAAACCTCGATCACGATCAAATTCATCAGCAAAATCATGGTCACGATCAAAAGCATGATCATAATCAAAATTACGATTACAATCGAAATCATCATCAAAAGCAGGATCACGATCAAAATCATCACCAAAAGCATAATCATGACCAAAATCAACAACAAAATCACCTCCAAAAGCCCGATCATGATCCAAACAATCAACAAAATCATGACCGCGATCAAAACCGGACTCAAAACCGAAACCGGCCCGTTTCCATGTACGAATTAGGCCAACTCGATCTTTCCTTTCAAGAGAAACGCCGCTCAATCGGCTCAATTCTCAACATTCAAGATGGCGGCTCCGCTGATTATATGACGTATAATCCCAGCAGGAACCGCCCGAATGGCGTCGATAAGGGGCAGCGTCCCTTAACCCCCTGCGAGGATCCAGAGCCCACTGGATTGAGCATCAAAGATCGCATTAGAGCCTTGAGGGAGAGCATAGAGCGCAAAAGGGCGGAATTCTCGACGCAGGGCCAGCCCAAATCGTCCGAAGAGAGCGAGGAAAGCGACGAGGAAGAGGAAGAAGAGGAGGAAGAAGATTCGGGCGTGAATTCCGATTTGAGCTTGAGCAGCAAGTGCACCGAGCCGGGCTCAAAGCTCAACGAGTACCGAAGGGCCAATACTCATTCGAGATTGTTCAAGTTGCTGCAAGAGAGCAACGAAGACGATGACGATGATGATCAGCTGTGCACTCAAAGTGCTCTAATCGGTGCTCAAATCGTTTAAGATGTTCGAAATGATTGAGATTAGTCGAGGAGTGGTGGTGGAATTTATTCTTAGAGGGTGAACGATACGCTCTAATTGCTCAAAGCCCTCAAATTGTTTGGATTGGACGAAATTCTTAAATAAACTGATTTGTGTGAGCTGTTAATGTACTTAAATTTTACTGAAATAGCTCTAATTGATCATAGCGCTCAAATTGCTCAAAGCGCTCAAATTGTTTTGATTGGACGAAATTCTCAAATAAACCGAATTGTACGAGCTGTTCGAAAATTCGCTCGAAAGTTAGCTCAAAAGGCTCAAAATGAGAGAGTTTTTTTTAGAGACGACAGAGCGCGGGTCCCTTATATCATCCCGATTTGACCCTTATTGAAAAATTCATAAAAATAAAAAAAAATAGCAAACGAACGAACGAAGTAAAAACGGGCGTCTCTTGATTGACTGACTGATTGACCGGACGGGAAGCCGGAAAAAATAAAAAAAATTTATTTGCTTTTTGTTTTGGAAGCCGACCGAATTTGAGGTACTTACAAAAATTTTATCTAATTTTTTTACGAAAAACAAAAAAGAAATTAGGATTATTTTTTATTTATGTATAATATGTAGTTGCAAAGTTGGCTGTGAGAATTTAACGATACAAAATCGACATTTAATTGGCACATAAAAATTTGACAGTGACGAGTAATCAAATATTTGACGCTTTTGACATTTTTGACATTTTTGACATTTTTGACAGTTTTGATATTTTTGATATTATTGACAGTTTTGACATTTTTTGACACTTTTGACGTTTCGACTAATCGGATTTGAATTTCTGTAGAAATTTTCGGAGTAAACTCCACCTTAGAATTTGCGTAAAGATATTTTTTTTCCACTGTTTCTACACATTAAATGCTTTCTCTAATTCTAATATAATGTATAATAAAACGTTAATTCACTCATCCCGATCGTCAGATGTTTTTACGTCGAATTTCCATTAACACACAGCCGGCTTGATTTTTCCGATTAATAATAATAATTGTTGTTTTTCCTTTTTGTCTCATACATTATTCTATTACGAGTATACATTACATATAATGTCGACTTTGATAAGGTGTAGTTTGCTAATCGAATGGAAAAAGAATGACTCATTAACAACATTATTTCGTGTTTTTTTTTCTTTGGTTTTCGTTTAACGCATGCCCTTTAATGTATTATTATTTAATAATTAATGTTTGATGTTATTAACATTATAAGGATGTCCCTAGAATATGTAGATTGTGATAGTATGGGGTGTTTTCCAGGTCCGGATCATACGGATTTTTGACGCGTCCCGGGAGGAAATCAATAAATTAATCAAGAGACGCTTCTTATTAATATGTATAATATAATGTATAAAATAATGTATAAATAATGTATTCTGGAATATTGCGTAATATTTACATGTATATCACAATATGATGCATAATATAATGTATAGTGTATAATGTTAAAACGAATAATGAATAATGTGTAATAAATAACTAGAGTTTAAAATATTTGTTGAAATTAATGTATATTTTATATAATATTTTATCGAATGAATAATTGTTATGTTTAATGAATTTTATCAGATTTAAAGCAATTTATATAATGTTTACGGGTCGCCCTGTACATTGCAATTAAGCATGTTCTGTTCTATACATCATTTTAAAGAATCGTAATATACAGGGCGATTAATTCGTACAAATGTACAGGATTGTTGAAAATTTATTTTTTAATTCGATTTAATTAATATAATTTAGCGAATATTTTATTTATGTACTGAAGTTTCAATTGAATTCGTGCAATATGTTAATTAAAAAGGCTCATTTGTTGAAAGGTTTAATGTACATTTAATGCATTTTTAAATAAACGTTTTAATTTAATTTTGACTCTTTTATTACACATTAAATTAAAGCTTGCGTATTTAGTAACAAATTTTAGATTTCACTTCATTTATTTATTTGAATTATCGAATAATCAACATAGGTATTATTTTATTTTATCACCGGCAACACTGCGGATTCGAAACTGTATTTATCCAAACGAACGAACCTGTCAGAACTGTCAAAAATATGTCAGAACTGTCAACTCGACGCAAAGGTGATTCACGATTTGTGTATCTTGGGGTATTTACAGCCGATTTGTCGACGAAAATGAATAGAAAGTGCGCAATTGAAAGAAAATCTGTAATAATCTAATCGACTCAGTGAAAAAATATCGTTTAAAAACAATCTAATTAACCTAATCAACCAGTTTTATCAGCGATTTAAACTAGTGGAATTCGGGTAAGATAATAACAAAACGTTTCGATTGGAATGTTTGTTCTATTGTTAGCCTTTCAAATTTATCTACGACTGATTTTACTAACACATCCTCTTCTACGCTTTATCCAAATATCTCACGACAATCCCGTTTTCCAGCTAAGCCAAAATGGCGTTCGCGACAGCGTTCAAAATGCCCCAGGAACCGAGGCCTTTGCCCTCGCTGGACGACGACGACGAGTCCTTCGTGGTCCTCTGCTCGAACGCCCGCGACTCCCAAGCCTCCGATTCCTTCTCTGCGGACGTTCCGGACGCCTCCGTCATCTCCGAGGCCAAGCAGCTCATCAAACAGGAACTCGAAGCCCTCGATATGGAATCGATGAGATGTGGCGTAAACGCCACGAACCAATCGAATGGTATAAAATACAAAGTAGATTTCGATTGTAGAATCGGCCTACTGTTATTTACGTTTCAGAAATTGAAGAAACTATAAAGAAAATGCCTCCTACGAATAAAGCTCCTGAATCGATGAAGGCCATGTTCAGCATAACCTCCTTAACATCGGACATGTCCTCCGATGAAATCGAACGGAAACTATCACAGTTGGTCGAGGAAAACGTTCATCTGAAGGATACCATTCTACAGGTACGCGACATTCCCATCTCTAATAAAACGAGCCATTATTATTCTCCATTTTGTTTTTTTTTAGAACAACATGGCGTTGAAATCGCAATACGACAAGATCCTGTTTTGGTACGAGGACGTGCAGAAGGTCCATCGAACACTAAAGGACAAACTGATCGAGGCCAAAAGGGTAATAGACGCTTTGAAAAGCGACAAGGACTCGTTGAAACGGGAATTGACTGAAATGAAGAGAATCAAGGACGATATGACGAAGGACGTTGCTCGATCGAGGACCGAAGGAAAGGATCCGAAAAGGTTAGAGAGAGAGATAGTTCAACGATTAATTATCTAAAAAGAATGAGTGAGTCGATTAGGCATATGAGTGAGTTATTTAGGCATTTGAAAGAGTCAATTAAGTGTATGAATGAGTCAATTAGGCAATTTCATTGCAGAAACGAGGACGACATGAAAAATCTGCAATTGGAAGTGGCCAATGCGAAAATTCGCGAACTCGAAGAAACCCTGGAAAAACTGGAAATAGGCGGAAGAAAATCCGAGGATAATTTGACGTCGGAAATCGAAAAATTGCGCGCCGAAAACGAGAAATCTTTGAAGGAAATTCGCGAGATTCGCGAAAATTCGACGAAATTGACGGAGGAGTTGCGATTGAGCAAAGAAAACGAGTCGAAACTCGAACAACAGGTACATAAATTTATGCGAAATACCATTTTAGTTTCTAACAGAATCGATTCGATGATAATCGATCTATGAAAATGTTTCAGGTGATAGCGAAAACTCGAAAAGAAGAACAGCTGACCGGTCAATTGGCCCGCGCGGAGGAAAAGGCCGAGCATGTGGAAGTGTTGCGCGCGCAACTGGCTTATATTCAGACGAAATTGACGGAGAGCGAGTGCGAGAGAGCGCAGGCGCAGGCGGAAGCCGTGGATAGATCGCGAAAAGAGCCGATCGACGACGAAACTTGCGCTTTGAAGGTGCAATTGGACGTGTACAAGGCGGATTTCGACGAGGAGCGACGCGCCAGGGAGGCGATTAAAGGTTAGGAGATTTTTGTGGTGTTTGACAGGTGACGGGTGACAGTTTGATGCGAGTGAAATGGTTGGGAGAGGCGGTGATGTGATGGATTTTTGGTTGTAATTTCGGAATGGGTGGTGCTGGAAACTTCCGGTTTTCTCTAATTTGTAGAGAAAACTTTGCTCTATAAGTTTTCCATTTACGCTATTTTTCTAACTTTTATAGTTTCTACGGTATTTTCGTTTCTCTAGACAACAACTGAATAATGGCTATTATTGTACATTTTCTTCAATAACTCCCAAACTACTCATCCTAGAAACTTCAACTTTTTGCCAATTTATAGAGAAAACTCTATTCTACAACTATAATTATTTTCCCCCCAGCCGAAAAGGACCGTTTGGAGGAGGATTTGCTCAATTTGCAACGGCGCAATCAGCAATTGCAAGAGGAAATCGAAATCCTCCGCAACCACGGCGACTTCGAGCCAGTCGGGGCTTCCCGGGAGGCGCGCCCCCCTTCGAACGAGGGGACCATGAGGTGTCCCAAATGCGCCATTAAATTCACCGACGTGCCTCAATTGGAAAGGCACGTGTACAGGTGCATCGAGCTCGACGATCATCTGCCTTGAGATTATTTTTAACTGTAATTCGGAAAATATGGGAGACGGGAAAGGGGGGAAATTGCTGGGGACATTTTGCTCTATAATTATGGTATTGATTACTAGGATTTTCTATTGCAACTTCGACAGTACTAATTCTAGAAGTATCAAGATTGGGGGCAAATTGTGGGGAAATTTAAGACTAGTTTAGAAAAATTTCCTATCTCCCATATATTTTCCTGCTATATTTAAAATGTACAGTGTTAAATTAACCTCCGGTTTATCGATTAAATTTACTAGTTGTATTTTTATATAGTCTTACTATTCAACGGACATTGTACGAGTTATAATAACCTAGTTAGTTTAAAATAACGAATATATTGTATAAAACGTTTAGTTTATTTAGGAGAAAAAAAGTATATTTTATCTATTATTAGATTATAGAAAGATTATTATTAGTTGAATAAATTGTTCAATTCCAAAGAGTTTTTTTTAATTAATTAACCACAGAAAATCTTCTCAAATTGCTCGTACCCGAAAAAAAAATCCATCAATTCTCCCCATCGTTTCTGACGTCTGTCACCTTCTGACGTCACGTTATTGACGCGACGATCAATCCTAGGTACTTAGGTACAATTTCATTTCCTTGGCGTGGCAAAATGTCAACGAATAACCCGTCAATCGACGTCGAGAAAGCGTAAACAAAGCGCACGAGCGAAACCCCAGCACGAGATCTTTTATGAAATCTGAATTGAGCCCCGAAGCCCCCGTATACGTGCCGCCGCCGCTCCGGAATGCGCCGTCGAAGTCCCCGCGCCCGCCGTCGAACAGATCGACGCCGTCGCCGGCGCAGAAGGAGCCCCAGTGCTCGCGGTACTCGAGGAAATCGGTGCGGACGTCGGGGGGCTCCCCGAACAGCCCCCGGCCCATCCTGGGCGGGCCCTTTCCCAGGGCCATACTGGGCAGGGGGGAGTTCTGGGAGGCGGGCGACGGCGGCGATTTTGACGGGAGTTTCCGCAGGCTGAAGGACGACGAGGACGACGCCGACGACGCCGCCGAGTCGGGCGCGGACGCCGCCACCGGCGGAGGTAATTGCGAGTAGAACGAGGTGGCTTTTTAATTTTGTATCGGTTAATTGTAATGTGTTAATGATATGATTATAGCTAATAAAAATAGTGGATTTACTCGGAGGTTTATTCTGAATAATCTACTTTACGTAGGCCAGATGAAAAAAGAAGAATTTGACAGTTGACTTACTTATTTTTTTTTTAATTTTGTAACTGAATAATTAAACAATACAATCCCGTGCATAACTTCTTTGGTTTAAATAATAAATCTCCAACAATTGTGGGTATTATTAACAGATATACAGGGTGGTGTAAGCTTGTTTTGTAATAAAAAAAATTGATTTACCTTGTAATATAGTTTTCTTCTAGCTCGTTTTCCTTTAGGATGGCTTCCTGCACTTTTATTCTCCATTATATTCGTGCATTTCTTCGCGAATTTAATAACTAGCACCTTTTCAACCTCGGTCGAATTTGTTTTATCGGGTATTTTAAAATTTTAAGCGTCTTCCACTTCCCGATTCGCCATAGACAAAATAAAAGAGACTGTTTAAAGCATAGGACCCAGCCAATAACGCGATTACTTCTGAGACACGCGACCAGAGGCGCTACAATCGAAAAATGAAATGCATTTCCATTGTTTTGATTCGTTAATTAATTTTACACGAGACCCGCGTGGAAATGATCGCGATCGCGGGTCCAGCTGGTCCAGCCCGTCCAGCCGCTTCAGTCGGTCGTTTTTCGTTTAAAGAGAGTTTCGTGAGTGATGCAGACGCCATTATAGTGCTTAACCTAAATGGTGAGTATTTTTACTTTTTATATATTTATATGTTTACAAATTTAAAATGTCGACGCCAATTCGAAGGAAGGTTCGAAGGAATATTCTTCAAAAGCATTTTTTTAAATTCTTTGAGCGAAACAAAAAATAACAAATGGTTTGATATAGTATTTATAGGATATTATAGGTTATATTATAGGTTTGTCCCATTCAACCAAACAAATGAGACTCTGTGAAGAGAAGATCATTTTTCTGATACATTTAACTGTTTTTGTTATTTTCCTGAATTAGATGCTGCTCATATTTTTTATGTTTTAGTTAACTCTACAAGAATTGTAAGCTGTAGGACCTGGGAGCCGAGGGATCTGACTCATCTTACTTCGAACAAGTAACAAGTAACAAGGTTGTATTTGTTTTACGTTTCTAGTTATTGTATTATATTTTTGTTATCGTCTATGTTATTAATTTTGTCGAATTATGTTCAAATGTTGTATTGTAATTCATTTATTTAGGTTATATGTATGTATACTAATTTTTTATATCTTTCAATAAATACATTTCTAATAATTAAAAGTTGTTCTTATTTTATAATTTGCAGTATGTAATATTAAATTATAAAAATAAAATTTGAGTATACCACCCATTTTTAATTTTGAAATATAGAAGAAATCTACTCGATATTTCATTAGTTCGTGGGACACCATACTAGCAGCAGCACCATCGACGCGTTTCCAATTTTTAGTAAGAGATCGAACTCTCTCATCTTTCTTTCTCTATGCGATTCGCTTTACTGAAGCAACTCATGCGCAATACGAAAATTATGCCAAATTTACAACGTTGCCAGATATAATTCCATTAAAAATTAAAAATGTGTTTAAAGAGACGCTAAATATCGATAAAATTAATGCATTTAGCTATTTTCCAGTTCTCCAGATCACTAACTAAACACACTCATCTTTAAAATAAATTGCGTACGACAATTGACAGTTGTCAACGTGAATACCAAGACATCCTTGTCTAATTGGAACTTAAACAAAATGGCGGCATTTTCAAACGATTATACGAATAAAACCATCATATTACAAAGCGTTATACGTTTATATCTCTATTACAACTTTATTCATTTAAATAACACAAAACATCAATAATTTAAAAGTTTCCTAAAAAAACAAAACTCGTCCATAACGCGTACACGCACGCGCACAAACTCGCACGCGACCGGCCTGCTTCGATATACAACGATACACACATCAAGTCTCCCCGTCGGCCCCCTTATTCACATTCACATCCAGCGGATCGCTCAGCGCCAGCGGCGGGCTCACCGTCACCGGCTGTTGCTCCAACATCGTCATGAATATCCTGATCAAGTTATCCACGCCTATCAAATAGCCGTCCTCGTGGTTGCCCACCTTCCATCGCGAATTGTGCGAGATTCTCACGTTCTGCGGCAGCGAAATCGTCTTGGCGAAATCGATCAGCCACACGTTGGCCGTGAAGCGATCGTGCACGAACAACAGCGAACTGCCTATTACCTGGAAAATTTCGGTCAATTTCGGGAACATTTCGATTTACTCGTAATGACTAACCTCGTGCGAGCCGAAGAACTCCGACGTCTCCAACGTAGCCTTGATGGCTTTCAACCTCTGTATATATTTAGGCTAAAAAATACAACAATATTAAGCAAAAAACATCAACCTCGACCTCAAACTAGACCTAAACCTCAACCTAATCCAACTAAAAACCTAGCCTATAAGATAACCCTCTCAACCCATCTAGTTAGGTCGAAAAATACCAAAGAAAGAGCCTTACGATGGCGTGCGGGAAGCCTTCGGTGAATCTTTCGAAGGCGGCCATGACCTGTTCTTTGGTTTTGGTCGTTTTGAAGTCCTTGGTGGAGGTGCCGTCGGCGTTTCGGATGCCCTCTATGCGAAAACCTAAGGTCGCCGTCGATGAAATGGTTTCCCTCCACACCATGTACCTGGGTTTCGTGACGCCCTTCGCTTTGTGCTCGTCTTCGGTGGGGGCGCTTTGGTCGATTTGGCACATTTTCTCGTACATGTCCTTCGGAAATTTAGATAATTTTAGATAATCGATTCTATTGGTTAGATAATGGACTGATTTTTGCTGAATACACGAAACAATATTCAAGATCATTGAGACTCAAGTAGACAGATAATTGACTCTATTAGGTAGATAATTGACTCTATTGGTTAGATAATTGACTCTATTGGCTAGATAATGGACTCTACTGGGCGTTTTTGTATTAAACACACGAGCAAATTACTTTTATATGACATATTACGGAAGGGAAATTATACCTTTCTTAATTTAGGCTTCTCTTTGGCCTTGGCAAGTTCCTCTTCCAGATAGGTCCTGACGCCGATTTTGCAATCCATGACGCAAGGAGAGACGAAATCGCCGAGCAGGTCCTGGAGTTGTATGTAGGAACATTCCCCGTCATCGCTGGTCACAAGGCCTTTGTATTCGGGCACGTAAGGCCTCAGGATGTCTTTCATCAGAATCTAAAATTTATGAGTATATTTCACTAATTTAATAGAAGATTAAAAGGATGTAGATACCTTAAAGCATTTCTCCTCTTTGGCGCACAATTTCTTCAAGATGGTGCCCTGATCGGGGCCGGCCTTGAAATTTCCCTGGTGCCCGGCCAATTGCACCCAAGGGTATCTCTGTTTTTTGTACGTTTGAAAAAACGGCGTCCATTGGACGATGTTCCTGAGTTTCCTCCATCCGGACGGCTGGAAGAAAAACGTTCTTAAAAAATACTTGCACTTGTGAGGTCGAATGAATGTTGTTCGTGTACTACACGAGGAGCGGTCGATAATTAATTGTACATAAATTCCTAAATATTATCTAATACAATATTAGATTTACTTACGCTTTAGGTATTTATTACATCTTACCTCTAACATTTGATACTAACCTGAAACAAAAAAAAAGGCTTTATTAGGTTATTATACATGTATAAATATGATAATAATAATAACACAGGGTGTAATAACATTTGTAATTTGTAAATAAAATGCAACTTATAAACGATTTCGATTTCAATAATGTTATCTAGCAACAATTGTCGATCGATTAGCAACATCTACCTATAAAAAATAACTCCTCTCAAAATAACCCCGTTTTCCTGCCCCAATCGCCCCCACCAGCATGTCCCAAACCTTTCTCTAGCATTCCCCTAACCCTTCTTTGTAACCTCCCACCAAACCCCTCTCTATCCTCCCTCTTTAACCTCCCCGTACCCTTCTTCAATCTCCCACAACCCCTCTCTAACATCCCCCAAACCCCTCTTCAACCTCCACGAACCCTTCTACAACCTCCCCCAAATCCTTCTTCAACCTCCACGAACCCTTTTTCAACCTCCCCCAAATCCTTCTTCAATCTCCCACAAACCCCTCTTCAACCTCCCACAAACCCCACTCCGACGTCCCCCCAACCCGCCTCCTGCGACTTGCGCCGCAACTCACCTTCCTCCTCCTCTCCTCGCCGCCCTCCACCTGCCAGGAATCCCCGATGCCCAGCAGGCAATCGTCGCACAAGCAGGCGTCGCTGCCGCCCGCGGCGGAATTGACCGAGCCCAACGAGCCGGCGGAATCGGCGCTGTCCGCCCGAACCAGCCGCCTTCGACCGGACGCCGTCGCCGCCGCCGCCGCCGCCGCCGGTTCGCCCAAGGCGGTTTGCTCCATTTTGGCGACGAGCAGCGCCTCCATGAGGCTCTTGGGCGGCTTGGCGGCGGCCGATTTGGGCGAGCGGCAGGGCGATGTGGCGGCGCGGTCGCGTTTCGAGGCGATGTCGGTTTGTAGGTCTAAGGTGGCCGGTCGGATTGGGGATTTCGGTATCGAGTTTTCCATGGTTTTCGTCGATTGGCATCGAGTTGGCTAGCGATTATTGTCGATTGTCGGCATTGTTACGCGATGGTTTTGGGTTTTGTTTCTATGTTATAAGGGATGGTTTATGGTGGTGTTTCTAGTGATGTCTATGTTGTCTATAGATAACACTAGATACATCACTATATAGAGGTGTTATAAGAGAAATCGATAACCACTAGTGATTTGTCTAGTGATATGTTGACATTTGACATATTTTTGACATACTGGACATTCTTACGATTTTTTGAAATTTCTAAAATAATCTTGCATTAAATTAGCATATTTTCCACATTTTTGGCATTCTAGATAATCTTGAAACTTTTGATACTTCTAAAATTATTGAAATTCTTAATAATTGCAACAATTTTTCAGATTTATTCGCATCCTTTATACATTCTTGGCATTTTTCACATTCATCATTGACATTTGACAGGTACTCCGACTTATTTTTATGCTAATGTCCGCTTGGATGGCCTTTAACTGTCTTTTTTGCCAGCTCTTTATCGTAATTATAAAG